ATAGAGGATTTAATTACACCTCGGCTTCCAGTGGCTTTTTGATTGAATAACGATGATCGAACCATCATCACATATTCAATTTCAATTCGTCGGATTTTGATGTTTGTTATTCTCTCTTTGTTGATCGGTTCAGCGTCCGTTTATTGCGATGCATGTGACACCTCATGCACAATCCGAAATGAAAGTCGGCATGAAGAGTAGCCGCTTTAAAGCAAACGATTAATATAAATATTTATTCGGATATTCGTTTTTATTTCAATTTTATTAATTTTTATTGTTACGTTATGTTAAACATTCATCGCATCGTTTATATGGTAAACAAGACAAAAGAGCGAGCCGACCAACGGTTGGCTCACGGGTTCAGACACCGTGAAGTGGCTTGAAGGCCAATAAATCATACGTGATTTTTTATTCATTTCATTATTCACTGTTTATTTCATACATTTCTCGTGCATGTGTTCCAACTCACCTAGAACAATGGCCAGTTACAGCTCAAAATACAAAGTGCATGAAAGATGAAGAGAGAAAAAACTCGGTGTGGACCACATTCATTTGACCGTTTTGAAGACAAAAGTGTTTCGACACAGCAAAATAATATGTGAGATATTTGTGAAAATGATTATATTTTGAATAATAATATTTGAGCTGTGGCGGTCCATGGCCGACAATGCGGTGGGAGCAAAGAAAACGGAACACCAAAAATAAGAGAAGAAAAAAAACCATTTAGAATTTCACACCTACTAAAAATTAAATAATATGTCTACAATATATTTAGTGAGGATGTGGTATAATATTTTCATGATGCCGCTATTGCTACTATTTGTCGACCACTGGCTCACAACTACTTGATGTATCGTGTTCGGTTCACAGCGTTGTTTGCGGTCATTGAAAATACCTTTCGCGCGTCAGAATGAAAAGAAATGGTGAAATGAAACGAGGACCCAACCAACCATTTTATGTTGTGAAAAAAAGCAAAAAAAACACAGACATCATAAATATTTGCTTGCCATTTCGAGCACCAGCAACGAAACACACTGAAATGCCAATTCTTTTCTCATCCAGCCAAATGTAAAATGAAGGAAAACGAATCAACATACCTGTTTTCAAATACTGAATAAAAGATCATTTATATTTCGGTTGCGTGTGTATTCTTTGGTCGTTTATTTTCGGGTAAAAAAAAAAACGCTGAAGATCAATAAAATTCGAATGCCAAAGCGATTGGATCAAGAGTCGGACACTTTATTGCACCGGATCGTCACATTGTTTACCCGGTTGTTTAGCTTCGTTTTTATTTTTATGAGTGTCTTAAATATGTTTGTATAGGATGTTCCAGGGAAAGCACGTAGATCAAATGCCTCAGATACATGTTCAAACAAAACATTCACCGTTAAAACAAAAACAAATACAAAAGACGACGACGACGATGAACAAAAAAAAAACGAAGCAACAATACTTCGTTAAAGTGCAACAACTACATTTGATCAAGAATCATTTTGAACAAAATACTGGCGTTTTATTAATCACAATTTGCTCGCATCTTAGCCAAATGTGGATGTTCAAACCATAAACACTTATGAAATGGTTATAATGATACAATCATCACCATCGGTAATTATCGGATTTTTAGTATTACGGTGTTTGAAAGAAAATAAAGAACAAGTCTAGCACGCCTATTGCTGAGATTTTGTCGCCCATTAATGGAATCTTATCGACAATTTATTGCGTTGAATTCATTAGATTTGTGTCGAATCACTCATTCAATAGAAATGAAAACCGAATTACTTGTCGTCAAAATGATCGCCGTCATCTCTTGACCTTTTACCCAGTGGTGTACTGGCGCACGCGCTATCCGATCGTTAAAATATACATTGTTTTGAAAATATTTGTCATAAATACGGCGAAAACATTAATTTGAGCTATCAAAATAAAATCTAATTATATTTTGAATGTATCAACTGTGCGGTTAATTTCCAATAAAAAATTTTATGGCTTAAAGAATACACGGCCTCTTCTTTGGAGTTCTGCCGGATCGATAGATGGCTCAAAGCAACTGTGTGTACTATTCCTCCCGTCACAATCGAACGCACATAAAAAAACACGAAAAAACCAGATGTACTTGTTTCAGCACACTGTTCCGACTATACACTGCTACACTCCTTCTTCGTCAATATGCCGTTTGGAGAGCGCTTGATGTTTGGCACAAAGCTCAAACAGCAATTTTGTATTCACTTTAAATACTATTGACCCTTTGGAGATACAAGCGAAACACAAATCACATGCAACATTTTCTGCTTCTTGCGATCGTTGTGACCTGAAAAGTTGACTGCTTTTGAGCGCAGCACCATGTTGCATGGTTTGTTGGCTTGCCTAGTTTTGTTTCAAGTTACGATAGCTTGAAATAACAGCTCCCGGCACCAATCTGAGAGCGAAAAGGAATACACAAACAATTGTAACAATACAGAAACTGAAATCAACCTCATTTGAATAGCTGGTCTACTGCTGCCATATATGTATATCGGTGATGTACATGGATTACGTCTTTCTAATCGAAAGTATTTCCATATCAATTTATTCGCCGGGTTCAGAAGTTGAACATGTTTTCGATTAATTAAAAACTGCCGGTGAAACGTCGTAAAATATGATCATCGTTGCGAAATTTTTAAAATCGAAAATTCTAAAATCAAATTACAAAATAGCAAATTGTTCAGAGAGCGCCTGATGTTTGGTACAAAGCGGTTTTCTTCAATATGATATTTCGTAAATGACAACGTTTTTTTCTTCTAATACCTAATAAATTATTTTATATTTTCGAAAAAATCGTTTTCTTCACTACCAACCAAATTGACTCCATTTGTCTGACCGTTGTGAGTTGGCATGAGTCAGCATTCAAACGATAAAAGAAAATATTATCTCAATGAACCCTTACAGACTATGTGAACCAGAGGATAGTGCGTGAGAATGTCCCTTTCTTGGAAATCAAACGAAGATTATCGAGAAAAGCAATGACCTAAAGGATGTCAAACACTAACAAAATAAACGATGCACACACTTTGTGTTGTTTCTTTGTCTCATTAGTTTGTCGAAGCGATGGAGAGATGTGTAACAAGAATCGAAATATTCGAGTGTGAACTCAATGGTAACCAGCAAAAGAAGATGATTGTTGTTGGCGCCGCTGGCGCAAGGTTTTATCTTGGCGCGACAGCGCATCTCGGTATTTTGTTCGTTTCATTGAAGCGTTTGTCTTCTGTTCTTATTTTTGTGTTATGGTTATTATTGTTGTTGCTGTTGTTTAGATTTCATTGTGTCTAGTCGATTTTTGTTGGTTGCGTCAGTTATGATTAGTTTATTAGTGTCTCTGTGCTGACTCACAACGGTTAAGAGTACTTAATACCTAAATGCCTTCGGCGACACACACACGGCATTGATCAATTCCATTGAATGTTTGATGATGTAAAAAAAAGAAGATTATTATCGACATAGTTTATAATTATTTTCTGGAGATATTACGTATTTGTGCATTTCTCGGTCTCCAGATTTTGGGAGTTTCCAAAAATGGTATTTAAAGACACATAAACCGTGTTTGCAAATGTTCGATCGAAAAAAAAGGCTACTCTTTTGTACGAAAATAAGAAGAAGACATGATTTTCTGTGTTATTTTATTGAATCGGAGATAATTCAATGAGCGACATTCATACGCGTTCAACTTCCATTTGCAGAAGCGATTGCCCAAAATACGGACTGAAAGGAATGAAAAAAAACTTCTTCTTTTATCCAAATAAAATTCATTTTATTTTTCTTCTTTTATTTCGTCCGTCGCATTTGCATGCAGAAAAGCCAACGAATCGAAAATTTCAATTGAATCGGGAGAGAAAGAGAAAGAGAGCGAAAGCAGTGACGGTACAAAAGAATCAAAAGCGAAACGAAATGCTGCAAAAGATATGAAAGCAATTGAAATTATTGTACGTAACTTTTCAGCGCTTGTTTTTCCTTACATTCGTTCTGAATGCGATTTTCGTTTTTATTCCGCTTAAAAACGGAACGATTTGATATTTGTGTACTTTTTTGCTTCTCTCTCTCCCCCCGTGTGTATAGTGTAATTTCTTCTTCGTTTTTTTTTTACATTTCTTATCGTGTTCCCGACGATATCTTTTGTCTTTTGGAGTAACATAATTCATCGCAAAAGGCGGGCCTTTCAATGAAACACGCCTTTATAAATTATTCATATCATGCAACAATATTCTTGTTTCTAGATTCAGTCGTTTTTTTTCTTCTTCTCTCCTCTCATTTCAAGAAGACCGAAGAGTGAGCACAGAGAACGAAAAAAAAAACATAACGAAAACGTCGTTCTTTTATATTATTTTTTGTCTCTCCACTTCATAAGCGCATAGAATATTTATCTTGGAAATATAATAAAGATGGATTTTTATGATGTGCATGATTCCACAATACGCATGCAACACAACGGAAATACACAATCGAAAAGAACGAAATAAAATGAGGTAAAGGAACGACGACGACGCACATACAATAAGAACCGCCGTGGTAACGCTCACAACGGCAAATGGAGAGAGAAGAAAAAAAAACTGCATTTGGCGTTCATGTCGATCGATTTATTTTGCTTGCTTTCAGCATTCGGGTCGCGCGCGCTTTGTATTCACCATCGAATAGTGTATTCATACTTTCCCACATGATGCATTCAATGTTAGACAAATGATTTGTTTCGCTACTTCATCTTCGATTGCGATATTTTCGCTTTCGTTTGTATTCACTTGAGCTACAATAATAGCAATAAATACTCAGTCCAACCGTCTGAAGTGTATAAATAATGCAGAGATACTTCTTTCTAGATAACCTAGCTAAGCTAGCTTACGAGTCGAAATAGAGTAAAAATGGACGAACGACTGTGTATTTTTTGAACGTTTCTCTGTGCCGAAGTTCTTTTTACTATGGATTCATGTCAATTAATTATTGCATCTTTTCCCCTCTTTTTCACAAAACAGAAAAACAAGAGCTCTCCAATTGTGTCGGCTGCGGCGGTCAAATCCATGATCAATACATATTACGTGTAGCTCCAGATTTAGAATGGCACGCAGCGTGCCTAAAATGTCAAGAATGTCGGCAATTCCTTGATGAACGGTGTACGTGCTTCGTACGCGATGGGAAAACATATTGTAAGCGGGACTATGTTAGGTACGTTGGTGAATTCATTCTTAAATATTTGTTCATTGCGAAATGTGATCATGATTTAATGTTTATTGTCTCGCGATTCACAGATTATTTGGCACCAAATGTGATAGATGTGGAAGTTCGTTCAATAAAAGTGATTTCGTGATGCGGGCCAAAACGAAAATCTATCATGTCGATTGTTTCCGATGTTCGGCTTGTTCAAGACACTTAGTTCCAGGTATGTTGCTCAGCTCTCTAGCACTTGGTCTCAAATGTTTGCAATAACAAATATCGATTTTTCCCCTGCAGGTGATGAATTTGCGTTGCGCGAAGGAGGTTCACTGTACTGTAAAAATGATCACGATAATTTGGAAAAATCGGCACAAAGTCGCGTGGCTCCAATCATTGAAAGCAACAATAATACACACTTGAACAACAACAATCATTCCAGTGAAATAGGTTCAATGTCAGGTAAGCCATTCCGTTCATCTTTCCTTTGACTTCGTCCCATTGAGAGAAAAAAGTCTATCGAATTTAGACAACGGCTGCCAGTCGATTTGATTCAGTTGACTAACAAGAGACTCCATTCACTATGTCCACCGTTGTCTACGTCAAACAAACCTGTGCTAATTGAAATAATCAACATTTTTACTGCGATGAGAACAAAATCGTCGCCATCCAAACGAAATTGACATGTTAATAAACTGTGAACCAAAGCGTTTTCATTGTTCTCGCGCTGAATAAACAAACAATTATGATTAGATAGCCAAATATGTGTTCAGTGGACGCGCTTTGCATCATCGCACAATGTATCACTCTGGAATTCTATCGATTCATTTCTTCTCTTTGACCCATAACAATAATGCGCTCAAATTGAGATACATATCGCTTATTTTGTCATTGTGTGGCTGGACAAGTGACGGCGCCAAAAGCGACGATTTACCATTTTTCTGAAATCACAGTGCAAATATTTGTAATAGAAAATGACGGAAAATTTTGAAGCTTAAAAACGGGAGCAATTTCTCTTCATATTAAATAGCTCAAAAGTATAGAAATTTATCGTTCGTGTTTCTTTTTTTCATTCGTTAGATTCAGGTAGTGAGTCTGGTTCACACAAAAGCATTCGCGACAAACGGCAATCGGGACCATCAGATGGTAAACCAACCCGTGTACGAACCGTACTGAACGAGAAGCAACTTCACACCTTAAGGTAAATAAATTGTGTAAATATCGATTTTATATTAAAAAAAAAAGTCACATTGATGCCGTATAAAAACGAAGCGGCATCAGTAGTCTCCGCGAAAGCGTAGAGAAAATCATTTTCCCATGGATCGGTTTCTATGATTTCGATGAGAAATGACGAGAAAAAAAAGTCGAGAAAAACAGCTTGTTTATCCAAATTCATAATTCACATGTCATCGCGATTTTGGCGTATGATTTTTTACGACTGTTGATTGTCATTGCCGCTATTCAGCCAAAAACCAAACATCTAATAAATGCGTGTGAAGAAACAAAAAACCATTCTCATCGTCTTTTTCAACGATACATCGATTGCTATCGATGTCCCATGTGAAATCATCCGCCAGACTGTACGTTTCATTTAGCCCAAAGCAGTCACTGAAATCAAATAAAAGATTCACGTTGACGCTAAGGTTTGAATTTCGTGTGTAGTCAGTAGTCATCGTGCAAACATGTTCAATAGCACAATAGCATTTAACTATCTGCTAACAACTTCTGTAACCGATAAACAAATAGGAACAAAACCATTTAAAATACGGTATATTTTCTTTAATAAGATGTGACCATCGTACGTGGTAAGGTATATTATTTCGATAATATTCTAGCCTGTGTCTCTCTGTCTGGGAGACATGAGCAATGTGTGAATTTGAAATCAAAACAAAACCAAAAATGGACAATGAACATTGTATTGCGTATTGATCTTTGTCGTCGCCGTTGAACACAATCGCATCGAATCTAGTGAAATGACAGCGAAAATAATATGAACGTCAATAAAACCACAAAGGTATTGCCAGTGAAAAAAACAAAATTCAAAATGGAAACTGTTGTAACGGCGAAGAAAATTATGAATGAGATTGGTTCTTGTTCGCATCCATTCGGAATAATTATGGAAACGGTGAAAAGAAATGAAGACTATGATTCACAAATATTTGAGACGCGAAAAAATGACGGCAACAACGACAGCGACGACGATAACAACGGCGACGACGTTCAGGTCAAGAGAAATTGCTTGAACACATGTAATTATCATACTTCGACCTTTAAGCTCAATCAATATTGACACTTCCAATTGACACCTCTTCATTATGCCAAATCATAACAGCGACTGAAAAATCTGAATAAGATCGCAATTGCGACGAAGAATCAATCGTTTTTCTCAGAATCGACATACTGTCTGATCGCCTTTTTTTGTTGTCATTTCTCTCACGTTCCACTTTTGGAATCAAAAATTGCAAACTGTGTGAAAAAAGAAGAAGAAAAACTAATTAGAAACAGCCATAGTTCAGTTTTCGATGCAATGAAATCGTAAATAAATTCCGTGAGTGATTATGGTTTTTTGTGCGTGAGTGAAAAAATGGATGAGTGAGTGAGTGTACACTAATCAGTAAGCAAGAGGATTTTGTAAGGGCCCCATTTTACACAAGTATCTAATCGATTATTCATCCCATACCTCTCCTGGTTGACCGTCAATGCTAAATTGTTTTCTTTTTTATTGCAGAACTTGTTACAATGCAAATCCACGGCCCGACGCATTGATGAAGGAGCAGCTCGTCGAAATGACCGGATTATCACCGCGTGTTATACGAGTTTGGTTCCAGAACAAACGATGCAAAGACAAAAAGAAGACAATCCAAATGAAGTTGCAAATGCAACAGGAGAAAGATGGCCGTAAATTGGGTTATGGTGCAATGCAAGGCATACCGATGGTTGCTAGCTCACCAGTGCGCCATGATTCACCGTTGAATCTGCATGGGCTCGAGGTGACATCATATCAACCACCATGGAAAACCCTTTCGGACTTTGCCTTGAATGCTGATCTAGACAATAACACAATGAACACGCACAACAATCCAGCATTCCAGCAACTATACAATCAGGTAGCTAAATCTTTTCATTGGATGTGACTTTGAAGTTGCATTGAAATTGAAATCATGTATTAAATGCGTTACTATTCTTTCACAATTCCAGATGCATGGATATGATTCAATGCAGCCAATGCACAATAACATGCCTCCTCATCAACATGTACCTCCGAACGATTCACTCGGTCATCATCCCGATAGCACCGACTCATATGTCACGTATCTCGAAAGCGATGACAGTATTCCGGGCAGTCCCTAATGAGCCATCAGCCAGATTTTCTCAAATGCCAGCCTAGCTCGACTTTAACCACTTTAACTGAAACATACCGCAAAGTTTATTGTGTACATTGTAGAAAACTACGAATATATCTTAACCATATTTATTATTTTACATTAAGATCTTAGAGCCTGCGATTAATTTCAAATAAATAAACTCAAATGAAAAAGAAATTGTTGATTTCGAAAGGAAAATTAATTTTTATCTTTCGATTTGAAAGAAAACACTTAGTTAATAAAAACTCAAACATTTTCAAACGAACAAACAATTGTTTTTGAGTTGAAGATCGATTTATTTTATAGCCTTTTGATATGAGTATGATACTTTATAGACAGATCTTATTTTCAATGTCAACAAGATTTTTCAATAGCAAAAACCGATCAAAAAATTCATTCGCAGAATAAAAATGCTAACTTGAATTTTAGCATTATTTCACAGTTCGGGTGTGGTTGAACATAAAATGAAAAGCAAAAAAATTAATGGGCTATACAACTTCTCAGAAACCTTACGTGTATACTCAAATAGTTAATGAAATTTTATTTAATGAAATGAAACTACAGAAAATGAAATGAATCGCATTCTACGTATATATATATATATTTAAAACATAGTTTTAAACTTCGAATATGTACAGAGATAGAATTCTAACAATTATTATTATTATTATTATGACGTATTAACAGAATGAAACATTACTCCTAATTGTACATTGATATCAACAGAAAAAATTAAGAATTATGTAATTCTAACCAAATGAACAAAATATAAGCATAAAAAACAAATGAAAATCCATTTAGACTTTTATTCTATCTGATATAACCTCTATTTGATAATAAGGATACGTTTGATTACGATTCTAAGTATTTTGTTGATATTTCGTGACTCAAACATTGTCTCTTTTTATTTTATTCATGTTACACAGAAATTTCTACAAAGCCAATCCACGACCGGATGCACTGATGAAGGAGCAAATAGTCGAGATGTCCGGATTGTCGCCGCGGGTCATTCGTGTTTGGTTTCAAAATAAACGATGCAAAGACAAAAAGACACAAATCAAACAGGAAATGCAACAGGAACGGGTTAGTTACAAGTTTTGATTTCAAATGGTCATTCAAAACAGCTTTCCAAGAAAATTTTAATTTAAATGTCAATTTTCTTAATGAATAGGATCGACAGAAAATATCTTATGAGACTGGAATTAAGATGATTGCACATTCGCCGATTGAATCGAACACATTGATGAACGGTCATGCATTGGACGTTCATCAATACAATAATCCATGGCAAGCCTTCAACAACATGTCGTTACCCGAAGAAGATCTTAAACCGTTCGACACCAATCCTTCCGAATTCATGCAGTTGGTGTAGGCTAACACAGAAATCATCCGGAGCTCCAGTCCAAATAAACAAAAGGAAACGATTCTTCAGCCAATCGGACCATCTCCTTTTGAACTTTTTATCGAACACAATTTTCATTTGCGTTACTAACACCTCAATCCATGGGAAAAAAAATCAAAATTTTCTCTTGGGAAATATGTACATCATTTTCATATACCTACTGAACATTTGGAAAAAAATAAAACCGACAGCATTTTCATAAGTAATTTTTTATTTATCTCTCTAATTAAGTAAATTTAAATGAGTGAATTTCAAAAAACTAAAACTAATTCTATATTTAATTTACTTTAATTTCCATGATAGAGACTAAGTCTAATTAAGATTAAGAATCTATGACAAATTAATGCTATATTCAAATAAATGCTTACGTAATGTTCTTTTGATCGCTTTCATAATAATTAAATGAACGTTGAAAACCCGGTCGCTTCGAAATGTCCCAAGAGCTTTGGTGTGTTGAATAACCGTGTAAGTATGCTGAGGTGTGTAACGAACGAACGAACGAATGGACGAACATGACTGTTCGGAGGGGAATCGAAGCTTAATCTGTACGACCGACATGCGTAACAGAGACACACTACTAACACCACTTTGAGCACTTTGACAGTGCAACGCGTTGACAGAATACATTTGGTTACGTGAGTATTAAATGGCCAGATTTGAAATCTGGATACATTGAATCGAATCGTGTGTATGGCAGGAGAAATGAATGTGAGATTCTCCGCCGTGAAAAAAGCGCGCACATGCATATTATTCTGTTGGCTCTCAGACATTCAAACATGTTGGGTGAGTATGAGCTTTACGGTTGTATGGCGCAACGCAAACATTCCTGCTCTGGCCTATGTTTTACATGGCACACATGCACGTTGCGGGCTTTTCACAGAGAAAGTGCCCCCAAACAGTTGAACAGACGAATAGTGTCAGCATTCATTCGCATTCGTTCTGACACACATAGAATATTTTTCCAATTTTTTCGTTTTTTCGTCTGACCCATGTATCGACACGTTACCATAATTATTTTTCACACCATCATTTGAAGAGCTAGTGTGTCTCTGAATCGAATCCGAAATAATTCGAGAAAATCGGGAGCAGAATTTTTTCTCTTCTTGAAACGTGATTGAAAAATGGTGCGACGACGACGATGAAAGGGAACTGGATTGGAGGCGATAGTTTTTTGGAATTTGAATGTTGTGTGCTTGGAAAAGACGAATCAAAGTGGTAGGTTTTTATTTGTTGGTCGCCCGTTGTGGCCAAACTCATATTTTCTTGCTCTCAACATTGGTTCATCCCGTTTGACAACGACAATCGAAGCGAAAAAATGGAAAATCATAATGACGATAATAAAATCATTTGGACTAATAAAACTTTAGTGCCTTAAAGTTAATGACAGACAATGTGAAATGAAACTGAAAAAAGCTGAGCCAGCAAAAGAGAATGAAATAGTGAAACAAGAACAGAGATAGTTTTGTGTTCTCTCTTCACGGGTGAAGAAGAGAGAGAAAAAGAGTTTTTTTTCTCGGTGATATATACATTAAATGGTACACAGCGAAAAGCGCTCACATTAACGATAGATATTTTAGCATTATTGATTTTTCCCCTCTGAAAATGATGATTATTGTTATGTGTAGAGAGAGAGAGAGCTGTTTGGTGCTACTCCATTGCTGCTATCGCTACAATTTGTTCCGATTGTATGGTGTGTGCTCTCCATGTTGGCCCATACATAAAATATATTGGGATTTGTGTGCGCTTAGCTTTTTCTGTTTTTCTTTTTCTTTTTATTTTCCATCTTGTTCAGATTACAATGTGCTTTTAAAAGTGTGTCGTGCGAAAGTGATTGAATGTGTTCAGAATCAGAGTCAGGATCGGAATGCTACGCGTACATTCGTATATATATATATATATATATATATATCCTCGTATATATATGTGCATTAACAGGGGACTGGCGTCAATGTGTTGAATAAAATACGCTTTTTTCGGTGTGTAATAGCTACTACTTTGGAATATGATGATGGTACAAGAACAAAGATGTTGAGTGTGCTGCTTCCCAATTCGATATGGTGTGCGTGCGTGTGCCTCTTCTCCAGCTCTCACTCTCTCTTCTGCATGGGTGGTATTCGTTTAAAGTCAACTCCAAATGTACACATGCCAAGTGCTTTCAATCGAAATTCGAAGCACACATTCATGTGTATACATGTGCAAATATTGCTTCAATTTCGTTGCTTTTTTCAAAAGTGACGGGAAAAAGGGAGACAAAGAATGTTAGACAGAATCAACCTCAACCAATCCACTGTATGCTAACGGCACAATTTTCCAACTATAAAAAAGTGTTTTTCAAAAGAGAGAAAAAAAAATAACAATATTTTCAAAAGCCAATTGTTTCATAATTCCAACAATGGAGTGATTATTCTGTGCGAGTTGAAAGAATAAAGGAAAAAGGGAAAAAAATCTAAATGATAACAACCGTTTAAATTGGGAGAGCCCTTCGTCCGTGAAAGCAAACTTGAAAGTTTCATGAGTCAAATTAATTTGACATAAATACATTCGAATGCTATGGAAAATTGTTGAAATTGAGCATTTTAATTGGCGTTTCAATTGCTTGATAAATTTATGTGTGTTGATATCGTGTTTGGGTGTGTATGTGTTGATATGAGAACGGTATGAGAACGGAGCGAATGGAAAAACGAATAGAAACAATAAACCAAAGAAAACAAATGGGAAAAAGAGACTCGGAAAACGTTGGAATGAATGGGTTGTATACTATTCAAATTCATAATGACACTCATTCTTATTTGTCGCGTGTGTGCGCTAATGTGTGAGTTATTCGAATGAATGTTGTTTATAAATTTGTGCGGCTCAAACGAATATCCGTTTTTGAACGTTTACATACCGAACCAACACAAATGAAGCGAAAGAGATATTGAGGAATTGAATGACGTTAACTATGCTTCGTTCGAAATGTTGAATTCACCTTCAGTTGTTTAGTTACTTCCTGACAAACTCAAAGTGAGTGAGAGACAGTGGAAAAAAAAAAGAATTTTCCGTGTTGAGTGCTACTGCTTAACTATTCGCTGGGTATAATGACCAGCGAGCCAAATGTACTCGCATGTACAGTAGTGAAAAAACTAGGTAGAAAAAAGCCTCTGATTTATATTTAATGGAAATTCGTTCGGGCCAACTAAATAGACTCTCTCTCTATCTCTCTCTTTTTTTTCCATTGGAGTATTTTCTTTGCGCGTCCGGTGTTCTGCTGCCGCAGTTTTCCAATTTATTCAATTTGGATACATCATTTTCTGTTCATAACCATCCAGTGTAGTTCCTTTTTTCCGTTCGTTCGTTCATTCCGTTCGTTTGTTGGTTCGAATTAAGTTTTAGCGTATTGGTGAGAGCGGACTGTGTGTGTACGTGTGCCAATTTTGATTCCGTCAGCGTAAGAAATATTCTTGCTATGACAAAAAAAAAGAACCCGTAAGGAAAGTTCAACGGAAATGGAAAATCGAAACTCCGGGCACGCTAAGCATACAACGACTAAATGCTTGTGGTTAACAGTCTTTCCTGTATCGTAATTCTTGCAATATTTGCGCCCATTCACTGGATATGTGTTGTATTTAATTATGTGTGGAAATCCATTTTCCAATGAAAGTCGCTTGTAACTGGCAGGCATTCCGGTCCAAAGGTGTGCGGTCATTAAACGGAATAAATGTGTGTTTAACATGAATCAAATTGAATAAGCGCACGTAGTGTACTCGACGACGACAGCGACGATGATGGTGGCGAATGAACGGCCAGAGAAAGAGAGAGAGAGAGAGAGAGAGAGAGAGAGAGAGAGAGAGAGAGAGAGCACAAATGCGCGGTGAAAATTCATTAATGATAATAATTGAATACGAGAGACAAAATGTCGCATGCCAGTCTTCATTCGTTATAAACATTGAACACCATACCACCAGTGAGCTGCCACAGTTTATTTCGACATTTGGCTCTCGTTGAACAGCAACGAATTAGAGATTATAAGCGAAAATAAACTAACTGTGCGCGTTTGCCGTTCATATTTGATAATGTCATTAAATATTTATCTAACGTATTCTTCGAACGTGAATAATTGATTGGATTCGCTTCTATTTTTATGCTAACAAATATGCCCTGTTAAATGCTGTTAACCATTAATGTTTTGTTTTTCTTTCTCTTTTTCCATTTCGTTCGTCTAATTTGTTGCCTAACTTCATTTGTGTCGATCCGTTCCATCCATCGAACCATTCATCCGTTCGTCCAGTTGGCTCTCTAATTGCTAGGATCCTAGGATAGTGAATGCGTCGAACCACACACATGGTTGATGGCGACATTTTCTGTACAAACAACAGGAAATGCAACAGACCCAGCGCTTTATACATTCGGTATCTGATTTATATATCACAGATGAAATAGATCTGTTACTCGAGGAAATCAAGGACTTCGAACCGGCCTGCTACCAGTTGGAAGACTTACAAGATTTCGATATCGCTGGCAGCAGAGCCGATGAACTATCTCTACCAATTGAATTAGAATCGCCAATAGGTACCATCACATCATGGGACTCGCACATCAATTATAGAAATCACATGAATCAAACGCCGCTTGCATGGGGCGTTGCATTGCACTGCAATGCCAAACATTTCAAATCACGTACAGGGATCGTTAGAATATTATTAGTGGTAAGTGTGTTCTAATCCTCTTTTTATTGAATTGTGATTACCGTAGATAATGCTGCTCTTCCCCCAATTATCTTTGTCGATTAATGAATCATTTTCCTCCAGTTATCATCAGCCGCGTGTTTGTTCACCGAATGCTCTGCTGGTACTGTGCAAGTTGGGCTATTTTTACTGCCATTACTCGGACGATTACGATTGATGATGTTTTCCGCACTCATTTCAATACTCCTTACCTGTTCACTCATATTCTTAGATGTATCCGCTATTGCACTGATGTTTCCATTTAATTGGGGTAAAGTGGTAAGTTTTCGACGCGACTCGAACCGAGAAAATAAACGGAAAAAGCGCAAAATGAACAACTAAACTAATTAAATTCATTCATTCATTGTTTTTACGTGCCAATTAATAATTGATGTGAAATACCTGCAGTACGGCAGTGTGCCATTGTTGCGCTTTGTTATTCACGTGATCCGTTTCTCTATGCTTTTCTCTCTCTCTCCCTTTCCATCCCATTATAGAACACGTATTTTTACTTTTGTGTCGGTATGCTGTTCCTAATCTCGTCCACATTAATATTGCACACGGTTTTATTCGCCGAAGAATTTGTTTGGGTGCCGAAATACACGAAAGACACGCTATTTATTTCAGCGGTGAGTAATTTATGACGTTTGCATTTGTGTTCGGAGTGCGGTGTGTTCCTTGTATGTGGTAGCACGGTGCTTAAAAATTCAACAAATGGTGCATTTTTGAAATTTCACTTAAATTCAATTTGATTTTCTAGATGATTGGATACGTGTGTGCCATCGAGGCGATAGCATTAACATTAATGGCACATTTTACAAGCAGCAAATACCGTCAAGTACCTAATGAAGATGAAGCTGATCTTGTCTCGGGAAAATGCCGTGAAATGAGCCCAATCACACACACAAATCATCGCGACTACCCCAATCATACGAACAATATCAATGGTGCAAATGATAATGGCTACGCGTACAATAATCACGTTAATTGTACCCAAAATACAATATCATCACCAGAGTGCAATCAAAAGCCTTATATACCTGGTAAAGATATGACTGCTGTTTTATTATATGTTTGTTTGTCTTTTTTATCCTTTCTTGAGCTGTTTTTGTACTAACACTCAATTTATTCTCGCAGAAAAACGTCCTGATAAAGCAAATAACCGAAGACCGACACTTGGCTATATTCAAAACCACAGGCCGAACAACAGATACCGGCAAGGATATCATTATCAACCCGTTGCATCGACATCGCATCTCAGTCCCACTTTTGTTTTAGGTATTTATGACTGCGATCAATTCAGGAATCGCATTAAAATCAACTCAAACAAACCTGTTTATGGTTTCTCTTGCCTCTTGCAGATCCAATACCCGGACCATCACAATCCAATTGTAATTCAAGTGCGTGATATAATTTACATAATATTGATTTTGTTAATTTTCGGTAAAACCAAAATATTCAAAGTGTATAGTTGAAAGTAAAAAGTAAATGAACTAAATGAAAATGGAGGACAAAACCAAATATGAAAACCAACAATAAAGCAACAACAAGAACAACAACAACAACAAAGGAAATTTAAAACAATAACGATTTATTATGTAATTCATATATAGCTTAATCGATATTTAAAAGAAAAAAAAAATAACGGAAAAAATATTTATTTAAAACTGAAAAAAATGAATAATCAAATGATCTATGCAATTAGCGAAAGAAAAGAAATATTTATAAAAAATAATAATCGAGAAAATTACTCTAATAAACGAATTTGGTGAAAATTGTCCAACGGTTTCATCGATATGCGAACGCATTGCTGAATCATCGACCGAATTAAGCCGATTCGTTTATTTTGTCGGAGTAATTCTGATGAACGTGGAAATTGAGACAGAAAATATAACACACACACACACACACACAAAAAAAACACGTAGCCGAAGATCTAGATTTTTCATATGATTAAACTAAAACACCATGTTTTGTGGGATAATGAGAGAAAAAAATGGTGCCCATAAAATCGATAGAAAATTTGCTATGTAAAAGCTCGAGCACAAATCCACAATGAAAGATTTCCCAAGGCGTGTGCTCTACTTGCCGCCTTGAACAGTTTGCCGCGAAATCTTGTTTGAAAATGCACCAGCGCAAAAGAATTTTAAATTGATAGGAATAACAAAGGGGTCACTTTTATCATTTTGATTATTATACATTGAATTAAAAATGGAGTGAAATAGTAAAATTAGCGGAGATGGCACGTTTTCGATGCGCGATTCACACAATTCAATGAGCGGATCTCTGTCCATGAAACACAATACACCATAAATGCTGATTTGAACTACAATTGATTTGTGATTTTTTCTTTCTTTCTTGAACTCATTTTGTTGTTACATTTGTAAAAATGAATTTATTGAAAACAGAAGGAGAGTGTCTGTTCAACACGTTTTTGGAGAGGTTCAAATTGGGTTTGAACATAGTTTTGTCGAGAAAAAAAAGTTTTGCCTCGTTTTGCAAACCGAAAAGATCATTTCAATATTATGGAATTTCGAAGGCGGTTCTCGATCTATTAATCATCAACATTTTTCCGGGCTTTATGAAAATGCCTTTAGCAAGCATTGCAGAAGCCACTTTCGCACCCACAGCCTGATGATGCACAAACACAACCACACATTTTTGTTTAGTTAGAATATTTCATGACAAAATCAACACATTTCATCACTTTCTTCTCCAAAACAATTTCATACCAACCAAAATCTCCAACTTGAAAACAATCATCAACCAAGGAATTTTTTTTCGATCCAAACGATATCTCTTCATACTTCAGCTGAATCCAGAAATGAATCGCAGTTTAACGTCATATATAACATAACAAAGGGCACACACCAAGTTGCGTTTTTTTTATTTCGCCATTGAACAAGTATTCAAGCTAATTTAGAGATAAAAATAACAACAACAACAACAACAACAACAACAACAACAACAACAACAACCACAAACAATGAAATTAGAAAAGTCTGTTTTTCACGTATGTTATATTAACACAAAAAAAAAAGAATATCCCATTCAAGAACTCGTCGCTTTAATTAATTAAATTATGTCTATTTAAAGAAACCAATAATTTTTTGTTTTCATTTCGTCTTACGGAAACTCCATACGTCACGTTTACATATTTAAATGTCAATTTTTAATTAAAACCATTTTACCATTGGAATATAATGGTGAGATGGAGGAAAAAATAAAAGAAAACAAAGATAATATTGTTGATTTAGTTTTTAGAAACGAAAAAAAAAATTATGATAAATAATCTATGCATATTAAATATGGATGGTTGATGTAATTGACAATCCAATATTTTATTTTATTGAGAATCGAATGTTTCAACAAAAAAAAAGACAAAGCAAACATTTAGCGAAAATGAAAATTATTATATATTAACACAAAAAATAAACTATCAAGGTAAGTCGATACAAATCGAATTGAACAAGCAACATAAACATGTGTTTTTTTTTCATTTACGATAAACACAAAAAAAAACAATTTGCCTCGTTTTGGCAATTTAACTAAAACAACAATTTAACTAAAATGAATGTGAACGAAATTTTAACGATCAATCAAATTTATTATGTATGTGAACACTGAACACTAACAAAAAAAAACATGAACATGAACACACGAAGACACATTGATAGCGATGAAAAATGTAAATTTGAAATGCAAATCGAAAATAAAGCTGGAAATGGAATTAACAGCAAAACGAACAATAACAAGCAATTGAGTTTTTCATTTGGATTTTAGGCACAGCTATGTTGTGGCATATACCTAGGTAGAGTCAGAATTCCTCCATTGAATGAAAACAACTAAAAAAGCATGTAGACGTGAGACCGGTACTGGATCTGGGCACAAGTCATACCGAAGCGGGAAGTTCAATAAACTGGGGCGGCAAGAAAGACACAGGGCGGCATAACTTTTAGGCACTGTTTAGATCCGCCTGTGTTGGACCGACATCGTTTTCAACTTGCTTCAGTTTCCAAATAGAACCCAACATTGTAAGTAAAATCCATCAGCATGCATTGATGCATTGAAAGAGCTCACCTTTGGACATCAAAACATATTTAAAGTGAAACGTGAAAACATTTTCCCATTTCTTTTCATTTATTTATTTATATGTGTCTAATTGTATATTGATAACATTTTAAAATTCTTGATAATAAATTGTTTTCCAAAAAAGTGTTTTTTTTTATCTAACTTGCTTTTGATCGGACGTGACTTCAGCAAGATTACATACAACAACAAAATTGATAAATTTCCCTCTGTTTATAATGATGTTGAAACTATATCGACCTCAGAATTAGTTTTAATTTGAATAAAATTGAAAAAAAAATAATAGCAGAAACATTGAAATATAAAAAAAGATAATTAAATTAAAAATCAACAAAAAAGTATTGATAGTGTGGGGGTTGACCAAAATTTCATTTTAATCCAATTTCCCTTTCTCTCTCTCTGTCTTTCTTCCTTGTATACATACATATATTTGCAAACAATTCGTTTTTTTTTTAATAATCTGTATTATTTTGTGGCCACATTTGAAAGAAAGTTTCTATCCCTCGAACATTTACAGCGATTTATATTTTTTCATGAATGCAAACATGAAGTATTTCCCTCACTTACAATAGTTCCGATCTCATACGTTTCGGATTTTATTTTTATTAGCAACAAAATAATCAAATTGAAATTACAACGAGTGATTTTTAGTGGGTTCTTCTCTTTTCGAAAGAATTGCAATCGGGTAATTAGAAAGATACGGATTTATTTGAGCTATCTGCCAATCAATGATCTGCGATAACGGGTATTTATCATGCGTTGTTGTGATATACTGCGACTGTAAGTCGTTACGTTCGGATCACGCACTGACGTTGATTCCAGCTAGCTTAAGAGGGCTCGAATTTCCTTGTGCAAATGACATAAGTAGTCCACATAGCTAGCCATGCCGTTTCCAGAACGATCTTCAATCAAATAGTGTCGCAATACATTCTCCAGTTTGTCGCGTGATCGCACAACCGTTACCTAGAAACGTGTCAATAATTGAATGAATTAAAATGAATGTCTGCGAATTGGTTTTGATTTCTCAGACTCATCGTGCAGTCAACTTACTCTCATACAACGTGGCCGTTCCGCTTGGATGCTGTCGATGATGCCACGCACTCGTTTCGATAGTGGATTGTCCAATACTGGTAAGCCCGGTCGATCGGTGTCAATTTGTAGCGAGCATTGCGTACTAAATACGGCCTGTGTGAACTCCGGTGCCAAACTTAAACCTATCCAAACAAACAAATGAACGCCATTTTCTAAGATATATGCCCCATCATCGGCCAATTTCTCAACTGTGCATCGAATCGGTGCTGGAATGTCTGTATCGTTTGGATTGACGTCGTGGATTGGGATCAGCCGTGGATAGAAGTAGAACACTGACATCGGCAGATCCATAATCTGTACAAATTGCATGACATACGAGCGATCATCGCAAGACATATCGGATCCACCGGAAAGCGCATCGTTCTTCATCATACAAGACACATACAACGGCAACAGTTTCATACATTCGGGCAAAATCAATTGGCCGGCCGACGTTGGCGATGCACAATTCTTGCGATAGCATGCCAATATTTGGGCACATCTTGTTTCGAGTGCTTCGCGAACAGCTCGCGGTGTGGAATCCAAAAGTTTGGTCATCAACTATAGTTAGTAAAAAGTAGATACCAAATCGAAATGAGCAAAGTGATGAGGTGACAATAAATTAGGGTGACACTTTACCTGTTTGCCAAAGTAGAGAACCACCGCATCCAAATCGCAACATCGGAATAAATCGGCCATTTGAGTGCATGTTTTCATGGCTAAATTCAAGATTCGAATACGACGTTGACCGCTGCACGATGTGAACAAAAGTGCTACTTGAATGTACACGTTCTCTTCGGGCGGCAACTTGTCGTCATGTTTAATTTCGATTCCAATCGATTTACCGCTTGAAATGGATGCCAAATCCATATCAGTGGTGTTACTCATGAAGAAATGACCATAAAATTCGGTTGGTCGAATTCCAGCTGACGTTCTCACACGCATAACGGCATCGAAGGCAATCGGACGCGAAACATTCTTGATCAGATCGGAAATCACTCGCGGTCCATCGATATCGGCTTGGAAATAGGTGTACTTATAGATTTCACCGCCTGTTAAACGTGACACCTGACCAATCGTAGCCAAATCGATGTATGAATTGTTAAAAATAAATAAGTCTACAGAACAACCGGCTAAAACACATTCCTGTCCCAAATTGTTGTATGCGTTGTTTTGTGGACTCAAAATAGTCTTTTCCTTTTCAGTGCCGAGAAGCTTACGGTCCTCGCGATTCTGAAGACGACCGGGTGCATCTGATACCGGCAACGATGAGTGGAGCACCAACAATTTGCCCGAGCATTCGGATGCTTTAATTGCTTCCAAGCCAGCTTGAACGGCTGGCAACAATATCGTCTCTGTTTCACGTGTATCGCCAAACATTTTCGGAATTTGCTCCATCAAAGCGTCGATAACAGCGCCCGACTCCTCAGGATCAACGAAGAAACCGTCCAACAGTGGCATAAACATTTCATGAATGTCACCCACAACCATCATTTGTGGCTGCGCCAAATTCTCTTTGCAATTGTAGAAATGAACCGAATTGTTGTATGTGATGAAACCGACTTTCATTTTCGAGCGATCGTGACCCTGGTCGATTGGGAGATTTTTCAAAATATTCTTCATTTCACGGCACAACAAATGCACCAAACCGGATTTGATGTTGTTGTAAGATACATCGATTACGAAAATAAATGCTGGCGGCTTCGATGGTTTATTTTCCTGAACAAATGAAAAATGAATTGAACCCATTAGTTCTGAATAAATACAGTGGCATTTGGTATCTATAGAAGTGAAACTTACTCGACAGTATTCTTTTGTCGCAACAAATTCGTATGTGCCTAAAACCAGTTCTGGTCTCTCGTACTTATCGACTCGCTGACCAGCATGGTCCAAGTGTTGGAAGTACTCCGATGGAACTGTAAGTTTTCAACAAACAATAGATTAAGAAAAAAAAGTTGCGATTGTCGTCCTGTATGCTCATCACTTACCTTCGGTAGTGGCTTTGCACATTGCACAACGGAAACGACGACCGGCATCAACGAATTGCATGTTTGGCGACATGTAAGCCTTGCATCGAACGCATCGAATCGGACCAAGTTCACCGAAATCAACGATTGGTGGAACAATTTCACCTTCGCCGGTTTCGGCAAATGGCGAAATGATCAGTGAGAACGGCACTGAAGTTTGTTTAATCATATCTGGTGTTGCTGGTACATTGTACATGGTCGATCGAATGAAACGTGGACCAGAATTTCCTTGATCATGAGTAATGAATTTGGTTGTTACCAATGGTGGCACGGCGCCAATTTCATTCGTTACAAACGGTCCGGTGATTGAACGTTGGTTTTCAGTCATAACTTGAATCGGGTTTGGCATTTGATCGGGATCAAGACGACGTTGTGGTGGTGGTGCAGCCATGCCAGGTGGATACTGATTTGGTTGATTGTATTGTCCAGGACCGGGTTGAGTATACTGAGGACGATTAATTGGTGGCATATTTCCCTGTGGCCCGTAACCTGGCTGCTGCGGATAGTTGGGCTGCGGTGGCATCTGTTGAAGCGGTTGTTGCTGCTAAATTATAATAATCAAAACACATTATTCACAACTATTTGCCAAGGGAAAGGGCCAAAAAATATATATAGATTTACCTGTGGATACTGTGGCATTGGGGGCATTTTATTGCTGTATTGTGGTTGTTGTTGATTGCCTGCGAATGGTGGCTGCTGTGCACCGGGAGAGACCAATGCAGGACCTGGGGGATAATGTTGATTTGGCAATGGCGGTGCTCCCATTGGATTAGTAGGCACTTGATTCAATGGTGGCTGCGCAATCGGTTGCTGGGGTTGCTGTTGCAACGATGCCTGTGGATACTGCTGCAATGGTTGTGATGCTTGTCTTAGCTGACTGTCTGGACCGTTAGCTTGAGGCAGTTGACCAGATAACTGTCCAGGCAATGGTGGGTGTGCAAAATTCGGATTTGCAGATGGGGGACGATTCTGTTGTGGTGGAAGTTGTGGATTGGGCGGACCCTGTTGTAATGGTGCTTGTGGCTAAAAATGAAAAAAACAAATTGTTAATCAAGGGTTCGATAATGTTAGTTGTGATGTTTAGGTTCAGACTTACTTGTGGTGGAAATTGACTGGTCGAACCATTGAATGGTGGTTGCGCTTGTGGTGCACCGTTCGCCGTAGGCGGTGCATATGGATTTGGATTGATATTGCTAGGGGGCATCGGGGGTCTGTTATTTAATGCTTGATTCGGTTGTTGTTGTTGTTGCTGCAATTGAGGCTGTTGTGCAACCGGCGGTGCCATCACTGGTTTATTTGCATACGCAGCCTGTGGTGGCAAGTTCCCAAAAGGTGGCTGATTTGGAGCTGCATGCATTTGTCTTGGCGATGCTTTGGCCGATGCAAAATCATTATTCAGCGACAGACCAGCCATTTGATTCGGCAACCTCTGTATTTTGAAAAGGAATCAATCACTTTACTTTTCGATTTAAAATAAGACATTAAAATAACATTACATTCGGTGGCAGTTGATTGCCATTGTAGTTCGGTTGTGGTGGAAAATTTGGAGTTGGCTGCGGCGGCTGACTATATTGAGGATTCATTTTCGATCGATTGATGAATTAATTCTAAACAAAAAAATCTGTGGAAACAGTTAGGCACCAATTAGATCCAGACGTCGTTTAGAGGGGAAAAAAACAAATTGATTAAATGTTTCGAAACACTGAATGTTGTCACGTCACTAAAAATTGCTTCCAACAAAATACGTTTTGTAATATCCGGTACACATAAGCACAGACATGAAAAAGCAAAGTTTTGATTGTTTTTCTTCAATTTATTTTTATTTGAACAATTGTTTCACTCAAAAAGTAAATATTTTTCTGAAAAATTACACAAATCGTTTGAAGACTCTCTGAACACTCCAAGTCAAAAGCAACTTTCACTTTATGCACTGGGGAAATTTTCGCTATACAATTTCGTTTACGTTTAGTGATTTTTCCCGTTTGATTATTTATTTGCTGGCATTTAATTTACCTTTCTGATTTTCAATACGTGCGAATTGCTGCCGGCAAAATGTTCATTCTTCAGACACAAGCTGAATATTTATTTTTCTTCGTTTTGTTTCTTTTATGAGTTTAAAAACTTTTGCAAGCAATACTTTTCCACGTCAGACTGCTTTCATGCAGTAAATACCTAGTATATGTACACTTTGATATTGTCTCTGTCAGTCGTCGCCTGCGTGGCAGCAATATGGAACTGAACGAAACGCTTGGATGACCTATCGTTGCTATGACATTTATGACGGTGATGCAAATGAGGTTAGGTTTCATCTCATATACTCTTCTTTATCTTAATCTTTGACATTTCATTCAATGCTCCCGTATGCTAATTGAAAACAAACAACAAATTGTTCGCGTTGTTGTTTGGTACGTTTGTAAATTTATTTCTCAGTTTTTTTTTCGTTTTCATAGAAAATTGTTTTGATTGTTTCACAATACCAAAAAAATAGGGAAGAAAAAGGAAAATAATATTTTTGAAATCTCCAACAAACAAATAACGTAATGCCCATTAATCTAAAATAAAAACTATGCGCATGATAAATCTGTGAAATATTTTTGTTTCGTTTCTGAAATGCACCGTGGTCCTTGATTGTTTACATGAGATTGCATTGTGATGGGTCACTGAATTGACCTGGGTCAAATTCTGGGATGCCGCCTGCAGTTGGATTACCGATCAAATCGGCTGGCGGTTGTCCGTACTCATTCAACTGTAAAAAACCATTGTCTGTTAGTTTTCCATAAAAGTAATTAATCTTCATTTATGGACATACTTTCTGCATGTTCTTCAAAACAATTTTGAAACGTTCATTTTTGACTTCAGTCGAATCGTTTGGCGTCTCCTTCTCCAACTCCGTGCAGATGACTTTGAAGAGCTCTTGTTGTTTGCCATATCGGTCTTTGTCCGCTTCACTGATTTTATCTTTGTTCTCGTCCAACCATGCGGGGTATTTCTCAAGCATTTCTTTTAGGCTCGGCAACAAAACTTCGGCACTTAGCAAAGACTGCATCATGCCTTGCATCACCGGCAGGAATGGATTATCGCCGGAATCCTGAACAAATAAACATATAAATGTCAAAATTATTGCGTAAAAATTGTGAATGAAACTCGAAGCCTACATCATCCAAGTTCAACCCGGAGAACATTCCAGACAATCCTTCTGGTGGGATTGGCTCTTGCAAAAGGCCTGATCCTTCTTTCAAAGACTTCAACGCTTCTGTCAAACTATCAGCTAATTGGGGCTCAGTCGGTAAAGTTGCGTTCTCATCCATTCCCTGCACTGCCATAGCTGCCGCTTCTGTTTGTTCGAAATTCAATAGTTAGAAAATCATTTTCAAACAGTAGACTTTGTTTCAATCATACCAGCCATTTTTTGGAAAGTCATGTTAATTTGATCTCCAGACGGAGCATTATCAACTCCGCCAAACACATTGGCCATGCGTTCTTCAAACAATTTAGCTTGTTGCCTACGGTAATCATTTGAAGCACATTATGAATTTCGATGAAAATGCAAACAATCTGAAAAAGATGACTCACGTGATGAATTCTTCATTCCATACTTCAGCGCTTGCTTTGGGCTCCGAAGCATCTGCACTTTTATCTCCGCTCTTCGATTGATTTCCAGCGTCAAAATCATTTAGGGCGCCTAAAATACGATTTTTATTTCATTGTTGATTATGTTCTTTTGCTTAGAGCGAACGAAAAGAGAAATTGGCCCGTTCCATTTGAACACATGACATCCAATTGAAATTTATTTAAATTACATAATTTGCATTCGCAATTGTTGCTCTTCCGATTAAATGAGTCAGACTGCGTCGTAAATTCGAATACTCACTATTCAATAAATCGTCCAAATCTTTATCATTCACTGATTTTGAATTTGACGCCTTGTCCGACATTCTGAATATTTCGTATGTGCGGCTGAGTTGAACGAAATTCGTGTCACACCAATTATTTCGAATCGATTTTAGTAGACTAAAACTGCGATATAACTTTCACGATGTGACATAAAGAAAATCGCAGTGAACCGAAGGAAAAAAAAGTTCTGTGGGTGTTTTTTTTACTCGACAAATAAACAAGTGTCAAAGTGACAGATCGTAGTTCGTGGTTCGTGTTGATATTTTGGCATGAATGCAACGTTGAAATATCGATTAAGTCTTTAATTACAATTGAGACGAGTAATGACTTTTAATGGAAAATACTTCCAAGCACAAAATTCTCCATTCACTTTAATTGTCTATGCAATTAGGTGCATACTCATTAAATAGTTTGTGTAATTTTTGTTCAACTGAACGAAACCTGGAAATGTAGAGGTCGCCCGTGGTCGAAACAGAGACAGAAGATGTTGCACCATATATTTGTCTCACTTCAATGTTGTTCAACCGAACATGTCATTTAGGACCGACCATGCTGCTTTGATATTTTTGAATACTTCGAATCGTTTCGCATTGTTTCAATCAGGTTATAGACTAAAATTAAGAATTTATAATGTCGGACACAAGTGATATGGACAGTTTTGATGAAGAGGAGGTTAAGCAGAAGCCAGCGAAGAAGAAGAAGACAATCAAGCAGGTGAATGGAAAATGGAAAGAAACCGATATGAACGACAATGATGGTGGACAAGAAAGCGGTGATGGTGACGATAACGATGACGATGGGCATGAGGATGGTGAAGAAGGCGAGGGTAAAAGAACCAAAACAATGCGCATCAATCCACTGAATTTGATCAGGAATAAAGAAATTCGTCATAAGTTATTCAAGAAACAGCAACAGGCCAAGAAAAAAGAACAGAAAAAAGCGCGTAAACAACGCAAATTGGAAGGTGGTCCACGCAGCACCGGTCATACAATCGAAAGTTTACGTGAAAAGGACCACACAACAGTCGAAAATCTTGAAGATTCCGACAATGAAGAGTTGCGGAAAGAGTTGGAAATTGATGATTTCAGCGAATATTTTGCACGTGAATACACACCCAAAGTGCTGATCACCTATGCCGATAACCCCGTTACCAAAACCAGGAAATTTGGCATTGAACTGGCCCGTATCATTCCAAATGCGTTGGCTAAAATCCGAAATCGGTCATCCATTAAGAAGATGGTGAAAAGTGCGATCCGAGAGAACTTCACCGATATCATCATTATCAACGAGAATAATCGTGAACCAAACGGTATGGTAGTTGTTCATTTGCCCAATGGGCCAACGGCTCACTTCAAATTGAGCAATGTACGTATCACTAAGGAAATTCGTCGTAGTCATTTAGAATTCACCAAACATCGGCCGGAAGTGATTCTAACGAATTTCACAACACGTTTGGGTTTGTCTGTTGGTCGTATGCTGGGCGCATTGTTCCACCACGATCCAGAATTTAAAGGACGTCGTGCGGTTACATTTCACAATCAACGTGATTACATTTTCTTCCGACACCATCGCTACGAATTCGCTAAAGACGGAAGCCGAGCTAAACTCCGAGAATTGGGGCCGAGATTCACGCTGAAGTTGAGATCAGTTCAAGAAGGTACATTCGACAGCAAATACGGTGATTACGACTGGATGATAACAAACAAACGACACGCAATGGAAGGTCGTCGACGATTCTTCTTATAAATTTTCATCAGAATCTAAACAAATTGTTTTAACAAAAAAATGTATGAACTTTGAATGAATGAATAAATTAAATAAAATGATAATTATTCAGAAAAAGTCCATTAGTTTTTATTAAGCTGTTTATTCTCTTGAAACATATTTCAATTTTGGACTTATCAATCAGCCCCATTAAATCTTTTATTGGCATGTAGATTCATACATTATTGGCTGACACACATTCAGTCTACAAATAAGCTTGTTAAAATCTAACAATTTTAGGTGTGTTCATCATCGCTCCATCTGAAAATTATGCTACCTTCCGAAAAACGCATTTCCATATTTCTTTGGAATCAGAACTTTACTTTATTGTATTTTTTTTTTGTTTTTTTAATTAAATGATGACATTTATACAATTTCAATCGTTATTGTTATTGTGGTTTCATAAACCGAAAATTCACGTGAATAGAATGAACAATTTAGTTATCGCTCAGAGCAGCTACACCAGGCAAGACTTTTCCTTCGAGCAATTCCAGTGAAGCACCACCGCCGGTTGAGACGTGGGAAACGCTTTCTTCTGTTCCCCATTTCGCGCAGCATGAAGCAGTATCACCTCCGCCGATAATGGAAACGGTTCCATTTTTGGTGGCAGCAACAACAGCATCCATCAATGATTTGGTACCGTTGGCGAAGCTCTTGAATTCGAACACACCTGGTGGTCCGTTCCACACGATGAGTTTGGCGCGTGCAACGACAGCAGAAAAGGCTTCGTTGGTTTTTGGTCCAACATCCAAGCCCATACATCCATCTGGAATACCGCCGCTAACATCAGCGCTACCAACAGCAGCGTCCTCAGCGAATTTATCACCGGTCACGAAATCGACTGGCAAGTGGATTTGAACATTCTTTGCTTTTGCTTTTTCAATTAATTTTGGTACAATTTTTGCACCATCTGCATCGAACAATGAGCCTCCAATGCTCAAGTTGTTGAGTACTTTCAAGAAAGTGAAAGCCATACCACCGCCAATGATCATCTCATCAACTTTGTCCAACAAATTTTCGATCAATTCTGTAACAAAACAAACACAATTAATTCAAATCCGAAAAAAAACAACTGTTTTTACTACTTACGAATTTTGTCAGCGACTTTAGCACCGCCCAAGATAGCCAAAAATGGTCGTGATGGGTTGTCCAAGGCTTGTGAGAAGTATTTCAATTCTTTGCTCAAGAGAAGACCAGCAGCACGAACATCGTAACCTTCTCCCAACATTGAGCTGTGTGCACGATGGGCTGTGCCGAATGCGTCGTTGACATAGACATCCGCCAATTTGCGCAAACTTTCACGGAATGCTTTTACTTTGGCTGGATCAGCCTTGACTTTGGCGCCATTGGCATCAACACCTTTACCTTCTTCCTCGACGTAGAAGCGCAAATTTTCCAACAAAATGATGGAGCCAGGTGCTGGGTCTTTGCAAGCCTCTTCCACCTCTGCGCCAACGCAATCGTTCAAGAATTTGACGTCTTTGCCCAACAATGTTTTCAATTCATCGGCAACTGGAGCCAAGGTGTATTTCAGATTTTTGTTGCCATCTGGACGACCCAAATGTGAGCAGAGCACCTAAAATCATATTTATATATTTGGAATATCGATGATTTTTAACGAAATAGTAACTAATGAATTACGTAACAGGTACTTACAACAGACTTAGCATTTCTGCCCAAAACGTGTTTCACGGTGTCCAAAGCAGCGACGATACGTTGGTTGCTCGTGATTTTCCCCTCTTTCATTGGCACATTAAAATCAACGCTGAAATAACGCAAAAATGTCACATACAATCATTCACTCCGCAAGATTTGTTCATGTTCATTGAAGTCAAGTGTCAAAACTTGAATCGCACTTCAGTACATTATTGCATGTTGCTAAGCCGAAATTACGTGATATGACTGTAATTCGTTGAAAATTCAATAAAACTTACCGAATCAAGACGCGCTTTCCAGCAACATCGACCTTTTCAACGCTAAGTTTGTTCAATGCCATTTTTGCTAATTGAAATTTACGAAAAATCCTTAGTGATCGTGAACTTAAACTCTTTTGCTGCAAACACCGCAAAAACTCTTGCACCAATGCTATCAATTGGAGTGTAAATGTCACCTCAATGTCATTTCAAAACGAATCAATATTGTAGATACGAAGAAACTAATGCCATCTCTTGAAGAACTTTCAAATGAGCCTATGGAAAGCTCGTCACATATAATTCAAGTGGAATTGGAGAAATAAAATCAACGGAAATTTAAAACGCAAGCAAACATTGAATTTTCTGTCTTTAAAACTTATTTTACAACACAGATTTTCTGATTTTGAATAAAATACTTGCATTTATCGAAATATTATTTGGTTGCAGCAAACGTGATGGCGAGAAGAGGTGCAGCTTTGGCCGATATTAAAACCAATGAAGAGTTGAACGAGCTTCTCAAAACGAAATGCGTTCATTGTTTGTATAAAAATGTGTCAGTTTCTATACTGAATTTTTTAACTCAATATTTTGTAGTGCTAAATGTATACGACGGATTTTTTGGCCCATGCAATGCCATCGCAACGAATCTGCGCGATTTTAAAATGGTGCATGCTGGTGACGATCTTCAAGTAACAAGTGTGAGTCCAATTAAATAAATAGTCACTCGTGGATTTTCTACTAGCTGTATTTGGTTTTTGCAGGTAAACGCGGATCAAATTGATGTTTTCAGGCGATTTCGACACAAAAGTGAACCAGCCTACTTGATTGTTTTAGTATGACACAAAAAACTTTGAAGAATAATTTGTTTTAAATTGAAATATATTCTTTGACTTGATCAGGATGGTCGCATAATCAATTCGTACTATGGCACAAATGTAACTGAGCTTCTTAGTATACTGAAGGAGGAAATTGCTCTATTTAAATCAGGTGCGCAAACTGGACGACAGACATTCGAACTACGTGAAATGAGTGCACTCGAGGGCCAGCGCTTCAGAACCAAACGAGACGAAATGATTTTCAATAGGAAACAAGATCAAATGAAAAAGGCTCAACTCGTTCACGATTATCGAATGAGCGTAACCGATAGCATAATGGATAATGTGGCCGATGTTGGTGTCACAGTGTTTATGCCACATGTTTTAGATGATAAATTGCTTGGGAACCTGATCGAGCCATCGACACAGAGCAATATGGCTATGAAAACCAATGTGACCACGAAAATCACAAGAGAAGACTTGGAAATGATTAATTTTGACACCCAAAATATGTCACCAGTTCTATTCAACCACATCAGAGATAGGGAGGTTTTGATTATAGCCTGGAAGATGGCTTCAGGGGAGTTACGTCCGATTGATGGTATAAATATGCTTTTAATTTCGAAATTCAATGTATTTTCATCTGTTAAAATGTCTGTTGGTTCTGCTCAAAATTCCAGAGATGTTTGCTGAATTTGCAAAGTCATTAAGAGTGGAAGCCGAATTTGAAAAGGCAAAAGACAAGAAGGCAAGAAAGGGAAAGAAAGGAAAGAAACCGAAAGAGGCCAAAACGAAGAAGGAAGCCGAAGTCAAAGTCGAAGAAGTGCAAGTTGAAGAGGGAGAACAAGAAGCGCTACCATTTAAACTTCCAATGTTACCAGTTCCCTTGATGGATTTGAAACGAGCAAAAGCCGACCCAATTCAAATTGAGCCGATTGATTTGCAGTTCATCGAATCGGACCAAGATATAATAAAGTTACTCAGCGAAAGTATAATGGTGTATACTGAAGAACGCATTACCAAAATGCATAACAAATGTATCAAAGAGGCGCTCGTTGAAGTGATTGAAAACACGAAACCAGAAGAAGTAGAAGGAGAGCAGAAGAAGCCAAATAAGAAGAAAAAGGTAGCCTCAAAGGCGTCCAAATCGTCAGCTAGAGGTGAAGTTATTTTTGATCCAAAGGATAAAGAAACAGCACATGTTTGTCCAGTTTGGACTCCACCGACGCCAAGATCCCATGCATCAATCCTTTATCTATACTTTCGAAGGGTAATTTTATCACAATTTCCAAGAAATAAAAATCTTAACTCTTTTCATTTCAAATTCCAATAAACAGCTCCTTAGCTTCTTTCTGCCAATGGATCCACCAGGCGCCGATCGTTATGTTATTGTTGGTATGACTGTTGAATTTCATTGCATTTTTTCATTTTTTTCTAACGAGTTTCAATAGTTTTTCCCGCATCAAGACATGAGGAAATTTTGGACTTTATGAAGGATCATCTCGAATATCACAAGGAAATACTGGCTCATGGGCTGTTCAGAGGCTTTGTTGATGGTGAAAATTATGAAAATACGGTACTCGTATGCAAAACGGGAATAGAGTATCGCATGGGCATCATGGAACCGTAAATTTTGACCAATTATGTGTTTTCCACGTGTTTTTTTCACTACAAAATATTTTTTCCAGTGAAGACAAATTTATATTGAAAGTAATTGCGAATACTGAAGCTTTGTTGGCACTTGTTGAACTGGAACCGGAGTTTGTGAGCCAAAACGAGCTCGATGGCCGAGATGAGTGCGATGTCATATTCCCGTTGGGCTATATCAGTATTTCTGAGGAAGAAGCTGAAGCCGAGATGAAATTCGAGGGGCTATTGGAGGATGACGAAGGTGAAGAAGGCATAGGTGCAGAGGAAGGTGAACAGGATGGCGAGAGCAAAGCTAACGACGAAGTCGAAAGCAAAGCTGACGAAATTGAAAGCACAGCACCAACGGAAAATGGGGAGAAAGATGTAGAAGAAAATGTTGAAAAAGATGTGGAAGGATCAGAGGTTGGCGAAGCACCAAGTGTTAGCGCTAAAAGTATTGAAAACAATACCACTGAAAAAAGTAATGCCGAATAAATCAAATTGAGATGTGTAAAACGACACCTATTCACTGTGTAATCATTTGAAATAGAATTCTAATTCAATTCATCTGCATTTATTTGCACCAGTTTCAAAGAGTTTGGCTTTGATATAGAAATTTCATTCCGTAATTCGGTGGAAATAAGAGCACAAGTCCAATTTATCAAGAGTTCCCTTCGCACCGTGCCGTTGATGTGATAATGAAGATTTTTGGCATAATAATAAAAGCGTATCAACGGCGAAAAACTTTTTGAATCATTACGAGATCGCATTCACCTGGTGCTATGAGCCAAAACGAAATTATCATTTCCTTTGAATTGAATATCGTGTTCGCCGAGATGTGAATCAACTGAATGTGGAAACGTGAAGTACTGAACGCAGCAACGGCGGCGTAATATCATTCACAAAACTTCCGATAAAATTGTCTAGATTCTATTTGCTGGCGCAAAACGAAACTTTATGGACGTATTCAGGTGGAATATGCAAAGTGCTAAAAAGCCCCTCTCGAAATATGGAAAATTCAATTGAAAAGTCTGTGTAATCAAAATCACGCATCAATTGTCACTCACTTTATACTTGTTATGAACGCGCACAAAGCAAAGCATTCCGAGCGATAACTTTTCGGTTGCTGGCTTGTTACCGTCGTGTGTGTGTATGACAGTGCCCAATATTTGATGCGCCAACAACAACAGGTCTGCTACTAAAAAGCTTATTTCACAACACAAAGCAAGAAACATGGTAACTGAATATTTCCAATTTCAGTATTTTTTTGTCGTCTTCTTTGAAGTGATCACTTGAAAAAAAATGACATATATTCCGATCCATATTTCATTTAATTGAATTTAGATGATGCTAAAAGTGTATATAAAATTGTTCATGGCATGGGGTGGGAAGAAGGCAGTGGGAAGAAATGTGTGGCGAAGTTTGCCAACTGAATCGATCAATCAAACTACAAAACAAACTTATGAACATCTGAAGACAATCTGATAATTGCAATCGATAAACGTTTTGTGGAAAAATTTGCCACCGTTTCGACAGGTATGCAATGGATCGACCACAAGAGACATATTGTCGTTTCGTTATAAATAGCATTTCCTGAATGAAAATTTCATTTATGTTACCTGAATGTTAAATATAACCTGGCTTCTTCAATAAAAGTTTCATCATTTGGTCTTAAATGTGATTGGAATATTCCGAAAAGATATTTGCGAAGAATGTTCGCCTAAGGTGTCAAAACATTATCAATGCATCGTTTATATGATGTGTACGGATTTGTTTCCGGCGAGACGTCAAAACATTGATCAAGTTCATTCGTTTCGCCTTAGCACAATCACCACGCCACGCCACGATTGGTCATAAATAATAATTAAAATGTCAGTGTACGAAATGAGTTGGCGGAAAGTTTGTGATTTCATGTGAAAAATAACCGGAAATGAAAGCAAACACAAAATGAAAAGTCATCGATTTCTCCTATCTATTGATCTTTCATCACCCAGCATCGAGATTACCAATATACGACCAATTGGGTCTTTGGTTGATTTTCGCTCCATTTTGTCGTGCTTCATTTGAATCGAAGGAAGTTAATAAAAGGCATTTCGATATGAAAACAATATCTTTTCACTGGAACTGTTATCCCTTTGCGTCGTTTTCCCATTTTAATTTGGGGAATGGTGAAAAGAGGTGCTAGCGTGGAAAAAAAAGTTCGACGTCTGATGAATTTGAATTAGCTTAATACACTCCACGAAAACGAGCCACTTTTTGTGTGTGATGCGTGCGAGTGAGTGAGTGAGAGACGTTCCTGGTTTTTGTGTTATTTTTTAAATATACGGCACCAGTTCCCGAACACCAACAATGTAATCAATCAATTGAAACGCAGACTGGAGATGATGTTGCAAGTCATTCAAGGCGAACAGCCTCCAGGGTAATACACACAGAACCGAATCGTTTATTCTCTTCTCGTTTGCTCAGTGAAGAGAAAAAAGAGAAGAGAGTGAGAGAAAAAAATGTTCGCAATTTTAATTCAAAGCGTACATGCATCATTCCATCCACACACACACACATACAGCCTCGAGTATGCTTTAAACATAGACGTCGCAAAAAAATACAAATGAAAGTGGAAACAAGGAAGCGAGAAAAAAACGAATGAGAAGAAAATGGAATGACATGAATTCAATTCAGTTCCGTTTGTGTATTTCGTAGCGCGCTCATTTTTCTGCTTTCGACAACGTCAACACATTCAGTAATAATTCAGTTACTATTTTCCCATTTTGCTTTCGATTGGAATTGTTTCGCTTATTTTCTCCCCAGAAAAAATGCTATCGTTCCGATTTTACCTCACAAAATAAAACAAACAACTTGTTGTACTTTCACATCACGTTCGGGCTATTCATTGTGTGCAAAAGAATGCGGTGCTTGTTAAAAGAAGCCGAGAGAAAAATAGATACGGCACCATTATTTTGTAATCATAACACACAATACAGACGTCTGCTATGATGAGACAACAAAACACAAATTGTTATTATGAAAGTAACATTAGTTGCAGAACCGAAAAGCGAAAGCAAAGCTGAAAATTTGGAAATGGCCTGATGTAAATGATTCACGCACCGAAATTCGGTGCAGACATTTCAAATTACACGTTCGGAATTAATCGAGTTGTTGTTGGATGCTCGAAAACAACTACTGCATGCGGAATGCGACTGAATGTACAATTTAACATGATGCATGCAAAAAGTGGCTTCTGAAAAATTAAGGAGAACACTTTTTCGGAATGTACGCATGTATCCTTATGATGCATATAAATGTTTTAGAATACATTACTTTTATTTGCAAGCTCATGCTTGCATGAACTCTCTTTGATCAAAATGTGCATATGATGATGATGATTTTACTTTTTTTGTAGAAAATGCGAATGGATAATGACAATCCGATTCTGGTTGCTTTTCTGTCAATCGATTTAAATGCGGTGCACATGCAGTGCATGATTATGACGCAAAAAATATGTCAAGAGTGAGTAAGTGACGAATCAATTTGGAACATGAAAAGACATGTACACCATTTGCTGTCAAACACATGGTGTTGAAATAGTTGGCAGAAATTTTAAATTCTTACAACTTTTCGTTTATCCAAACATCCCTCAAAATATTAAAACTTTTATGACGCAAAGTAAAATCTCTGTCGCTGCGTTTTTGACAACAAATTTTCTTGATTTTAATTTTGCTGGCAAGAGCAAAATAAGAGTTGAAAAAGTTGACAACTATATTTACTCCGGATTTTTCTTCTCACACTTGTTACGAAAAAAGAACCCATTCGTCTGGTTGTGTTCGAAAAAACGGAACTCGATTTGAAAGTTTGCTTCACTCTGTGCATTTATTTGTTGTGCGAACGACTCAAGTTTCTTCTTTTCCATTTCTTTTTTCTTCCTTCGTTTCGGTGAGTTAGCATTTACCGCTTGTCTGATTTTTCATCGTAAACTTTCATGTCATTTCGATGATGAAAACCACGAAACAGCCAAGCGAACACTCTGTTTCGTTCGCACTTAAGCTTAAAACTAGCGAACATTTTAAGAAAATTAAATTTCAACACGTAAACTTTGAACTCCATTTCGCCCTGTTTGTAAAGTGACGAGCCAAAGTTTCATCGCATTGCCAGCTATATCTACACACACACATATATATATATACCGAATGACAATGTGCGCCGAGAATGTCTCTCGGCGCAACGGCACGAGGGAAGAGATATGATTTTTAGTAATTGAGATCGAAACCATATTCAAAGCGTACGGCATGAAATATACAGTGTATCTCTTGTACAACAAAATGCCGCATTTTCAATAACCTCCTTCATCATCGTTGTTGAATCCTCATCTCACACCCGAATGCGGTGCTCCGTCTGCTTGTGCTGTGCACATTTTCGCACTGTAATTACGATGTTCGTTTACATCGAATAAATTACCGTGGAACATTTTGTCACAAATTTCACACGCCAACACTTAGACCACCCCAGACGATATAGCAATTTCGAGTGATTTAATTTTGATTTCAAGAACTTAATGCGATTTGTTTACTTTGACACCCCGAAAGATTTTCTCCGGTGATGGAAAACTTTTAATTTTTACAACTCATGAGCTTAATGCTCACTGTTTTGGAATGCACCTCAATATAAATCATATAAAATCCCCGTGCATATGAAGTCGTCGTATTTGACGACGCGGTTCTACACGATATAGAGGAACGAAACGTGAATGTCATATAATAAAATGAGAACGTATATCTGCAGGTTCAACCGCAACAAACAAAATACTTAATTAATTAAAAAGTTTAATTTTCCCGAGGAAAAAGTTGCAGCAAATCCTTTTTCATTATGCTTTGTAAATAACAGTATATTGAAAAAGCATCGTTTTCCGCAATGAAATGATATCACAATGCGGCATGTCGTGCAGGCGAGAAAAAAAACGAAGTCATTAGTAAAATATTAAGAAATTTTCCGTCTGTGGCTTCTGTTTGTCAGACAGAGAGAGAGAAAAAAAAGTCAGATAAATGCTAGCACTTTCCTTCCACACGGATTCCCATCCGTCAGACTTTTATATTTGCGAGCTGAGGTTGGATGGATTAAATTTTTTCAACTGGATTATTTCGTTATTTAGCCGGGATGAATGTTTCGTGCAGATAAATATGAAATCATTTATAGATATTGACAAAGTGAATTGGTTTACACAAAAATGGGTTGTTTGCACCAAACGTTTGAACCATTTCAAATTGGAAGCAAATGTAAATTAAAGGATTCTTCTAATGTGATGGCATTCATAAGCAGCCCATCATTTTAAAACGTATGGCTTAATTCCATTAGGAATTAAGGGTCTGAATAAAATCAGTCTTCCATAGCCCCCCAATTTTATTCGACGAAAAAACACTTTACAGCCAAAACGTATACAAATAATGTGCATGACTATATGTTGCTCTGTGAGTTCTGGCGAATGTCCGTAAAATATTATCATCAGATCAAAATGACATATAATTAAGAAAATGTGCGCTGTGAAAGAGAGAAGGAGATGAAAAGGGAATGGTATAATGCTCAAATATATATTACGTACATTAACTCAAATGCTTGTGCACTTTTTCGACCCTTTTAATGTTTTTCACTGGTCCGCAGTGTGCAGATGAAAGTAATAAGCACATACATGCCTTTATTTGGGTCTTATCGCAGAAAAAAATATACATTCAAAAAGTATTTTTATTGAGCCGATGGTAAAAGGGAATTTTATTTCATTCAATGTGTTCCTAATTCGTGTATAGAAATCGGCAAACGATGGTGCTAATATGTTTTTTCTCGGTCGGGTTTGGACCGAAAATTAACGCAGCCATCAGTCAGACTGTGAACGAACAAAAAGCATCATAAGTAAATTTGAAACAAACACAGATGTTGGCTTTCCAAATGTTCATGCCACACACTATGTTATGGTTTTTATGTAGGTTAGCAACATCATAATCTGGATTTCTGGATTTGGAAATAGTCTCCAAGTGGTTAGATGCACGGGAAGAAAAAAAATCGAGCTCATCAGCAAAAAATAGAAAGCTTCAAAGCCACTTCTGTGGCGCAGTATTATCAAGTTGACAATGAAACAAATTCACCAGCTATAAATAACTGTAAGAAAAATGACCCAAAGCATAAAAACATTCGTTCACTCGCGAGCACACATACACACACATCCTCCATTGACACCGAGCTCTTCTTTGATCTTACGGTTTTCCGCATTGAAATAAAATTTATTTCAACGAGAAATGCGAAAAAAATCCAGCCATTTGTTTCCGACGTCTCCGTATCTCCGTGATGTGCTACACAGCAAAAGTTTTCTCGGCTGAAGAGTTTTTTTTTCTGGTTGGTTGTTTGTTTGCGTCCGTTTTATTTTTGGTTTTGTGCCCATTTTGCAGTTGTTCGTCGTGGCTACGTGATTACCAACATAATCGGTCAAAAGTTTTATCGCTTTTCATGGAGGAAAAAGTTGCAAAGTCGGAAAAAAATGACAACTGATTTAACGTATCTCTTTCGTTTTTTTCCTTAAGCAAAATACTTTTGCCAATGTCACTCGAATAAGCGAATCTTAAGTTGTGATTATTATCGATATTTTTCCCTAGTAAAACTGAAACAGAAAAGCGAATCGATTTTTTTTTCTTTTGCTGATACCAACCTTTATCGAGATTACACGAAACGAAAAACTTATTTATTAGAATCCAGTATTATCCCAGCATGGAAAAAAATTGCACTTACGGGATTTGTGAGATCAATGAAAATTGTCTATCGTGAATTTATTGCGAACGAAAAACTAAATGAGTCTGAACAGTATTTGAGCACGTGCGGTAAGAGTCATCAACATTTTGAATGTCAAAGGAGACGAAATGAATGTTGGATTGAATTCAAACCGCAAGCATACCAGCCAATATTTGGAATCATCCAAAAATTTATGATTTTCTGCATTATCGGCAACTGTGCATTATATATTGGATCAAATATTGAAAGTCATTGAACACACTGCATTCGATTTTATCGGATAGACCGAAATTTATGCGGTCGAATAGATATTTGGCATGCCATTTGTCTGCTTCATAAACATAAAACATCCGCAATTACTCGATATTTTGTTCCGGTTTAATTTCCGATTGTTTTTCAACAACGGTCCAATTTCCTCTGTTATGCGTGAGGAGCGCCCTTGGTATAGACCACATCGTAGTGAAAATAAAAACGGTTCGTGCTTTGGAATCGTTTTGATACAGTAGTCGTAGTGTATGGGAGTGAAAGAGAAAAAGTAGGAGAGACCGCATACGAGTATGTACATTGTACAACACAAAGTTGCTAGTTTACTGTAACTTGGAGCATGCTTGTTATATCGAAGCTTAGTTGACTTGCCGTCCGTTCGCTTCATAAAACTTAACCAATGCCATAAATTCTATATCTTCTGGGTATCGATCTCAGCAAATAACATTGCAATTGCTTCAAACTTCGAACAGAGTCTTTGCATAATGGCGCCAATACTGTGGCATACAATATAAATGCATTACACAAGAGCAAATAAATGTTAGATTTTCACTGCGACAATGACAAAGAAAGCAACGGTAGGAAACACTATTTTCTATAAAATAATAAATAACTTCGTTGCCTGCGTGTAAAATTTGAATATTCCATCAATACGGTTTTCAATTATTTGTAGACATAAAAATAGAATAAATAAATGACACTCGAATAGAAAAAACTTCAGATTGGGATCTAAAATGTTCAAACTTTTATACGTTGAAATATATTGTTCATAAATTTGTAACTTTGTTTTATTTTATCGAATTTTACATTGGTGAATGCTTATCACTTGAGTGCATCAAGTAAATGGTTTGAGTTTTTTTTTCGATGATAAATAATAGAATGTGAAATGTTTCGAAAGTAAAAAGAACGCATCGAATGGATGACGTCGACATTGTCGTTGGATGGTAACATTTCAATTATTGCTCTGCACGGGATTTGCATCGTTCAATCGCATCAAATGGAGCCAATCAACAGACAAAATGTGCATGCGATAAAAAAGTATGAAACGAATTTCTAACGGAAAGCGGATGCATCGCGGTAGCTGAAATGAACAGTGGCTTCAGTCATTCATAAAAAAAAGTGCTCGATGTTTAATATTCGCTGTGAAATGGGATAGACTGCACAGTGCACACTCTTTTCGGTACACACGCGAAGAAACAGTATTTAGTATTGAAGTAAAAATGCAAGATGCGATTGAGCCGTTATCTTTTTTCAACATTGACTGAATTGGATGAGTGGATTTTATCTTTGCATTTGAATGGTTACGAATCTGTAGTGAATAGATGAATTACCCATTCACATTCAATCATCAATATACGAACTATTACGATTTTCTATTTCACTGCCATTTTTGTATGTATCCAGCGTAATCCATTGGATTGAAAATTCATTATACGCATTCGCCAACAGACAGAAAATATAAACTAAAATAATGCCGATAGGCAATGTCTGCGGATTGAAGTATTCGACTGTTTCTTGTTTGTTTTTCTTGATGGATTTTTGCGATGCGCGAGGGTGGATACAGTGAACGAAAAAAAAGAGAGCCAAAGTCTACATTCGCAGAACATCGATTCGACATCGGAAAAATCATTTCAAATTGAGAGTAATTTTGCACTGGAGGAAATTTGAACGAACGTGCCGGGTAGTTTGTCATTCAATCGATTCGATTCGATTCAATGTACGATGTGCTGCCATGAGCGCAATGCAGCTAACACAACAGGATTTCTGGTACTGGAAAAGGTGTTCAAAGTTTATTTTTTACTCTTCACATTCCTTCTTCTTGCTATGGATTCCAAATTGGGTTTTTGCTGGTGGTATGAAGTGCAATAAAATGGTAGAGCAAATCGAAAACTTTTAATGGACGACAGTTTTGTTTATTGAACTGCTTTTCGGATGATTGTCATATATTTGCTGATGCACAGACACACTCTTGCAGCTCAACACTGACAATTTTACCCATAGAGATAAAATGAAGGTACCACACGTGCACACTGCATATGAAGTTGCTTGATAAAATCTTATTGCGGAGACGAATGCCTCAAACACTGTGCGCACATCAAATGCACACGACAATTTTGACCACAAATTGAAATTGAAGTGCGGTCATTGTTGCTTTTACGGAAATAACAACAATTCACAATTTGAAGTTTCAGCATACAATGTTGTCGTAAGCATGCACTCAACTCCCTGAGCGTATTCAAACTATGCACTGAAGTATTCCATTGTGGTGGGTACCGTTCGATTAGAGCACGTATACTTACCCACATTGATTATTTTCGAGAGAAAGAGAGAGAGAGAGAGAAAAAAAACATACAACGATTACGACTTAATGGCCTGCAGCTAAACGACTTCTGTACACGATGCTCTTCACAAAGAAAACATTTTTCGATAACAAATGAGGTGGGTTCAATTTTGACATAATAGAAACGAAACATTTGAATTTGTTCCGTTCGGATTGAAAATATTTCGATCTATGAAATAAGTTTCTGGCACTACATTTATTCTGGCTGAACACCAAAATTGAAGTCCTAATTCCAAATTGAAAGATAACAAGTTTCTTTTCAAGCGAATGCGTGGAAAAACCAATGCGTGACAAAGAGGCACTTGAAAAGCTATTAAATTCTACTAAATTTCAAAGAAATTACTTAACAAATTTCCAATTAAAAGCAACCTAGCACAAGAATTGAGCTCACTAATTAATTTAATTATTTGATGGTTATCAGCGCAAGCATGTACTGTATGTAGCAAACTAAAGTTATGCCGCGAATAGGGTCGCAATGAAATTGGCAGTAAGAGCTTTACAATCGACTTTGCAATCATAGCTTTTCAATGACAGAACTTCATGATCGAGTTTTCTCAATTGGTTCCACCTTCGTCTACTGAGTTGTTCGCTGTCAATGGAAGATGTAAAATTGAGTTATTGTTCTCTAATTAAACTTGTATGAAATGTGCAATTGGCACTGGAAGTGAGTCGAATGGCAATGTGTCAATCGTTCAAAATGAAATATATAAATAGGTATTGCACAGGGAATACAGATCATGGATTGGTTTCCCATTTGGGAGCATGTCAATTTATTTTCTGTCAAGAATTCAATTCAAATGCCAACTCAGATTTTGACGATTGTAGAATATTTAGAATGCTAAATCAAATACTGTGAATCGAAGTAAGCAGTAATTGTAAGCAGTAATCGAAGTAATTGTTCGATTACTTGTTCGAAGATAAAGTTCAAATCATTGTTAGCAGAAAATAAAAAAAAAGTATCAAAATTATGTCACAACATTGCCGTCCAAGTCCAGCAAGGTACACACTACCGCCAACCGTGGGTTACAACGGCCACGATATACGGAAGCAAAGGATGCCGGCTTATACATTTGGAGCGCGATTTGCCGATCGAGAAAAAATCGAAAGCCCTGGCCCCAATACATACGGTTTGCCGTCAACACTAGCCGGAAAAGATCAAACCGTAAGTGCACTTTTGGATTGTAGAATAGAATGATGTTTCAAATATAGCGAGAGTAAAAACAACAAATAAAATTTCAAGGTTCAAAGAGCCCCAGCGCATACGATGCATGCTAAATTCGACATAAAGGATCATATCTTCGCTCCCGGACCAAACACTTACGGACTACAAAATTTTAAACCGGGAACACGAGCACCCGTTTATACTTTAGGAGCGAAAATACCTCCATTGCATCAAACAACCGAATGTTGAACTGGATACCTTAGCTATGGATGGCATAGTACCGAAATTTGTAGCGAACAACTTTGATTGCGAAATTAAATGTATATTATATATAACGATGTAAAATTTATTTTGAATAAAAAAGGATGTTGCAAATAAAAGTCGTTTTAGAATACTCTTGGTCGCACAGACTGTGAGTCACAATTCAATTTCAACGCTCAGTTGGCACGAACTATAGAAGAAACGAATGGATTTCATTTCCATCTCTTGGCATACAACTATGAAAAGTTGAAAAACATACCTAAAGAAAAACGAAAACGATGACAGAATTTCAAACAATCGCTATAGTATCTATGATTCTTAATCACAATGCCTTCGATATTTGTGTCATTGATTCTTCATATACAAATCAAAATAGGCAACGTGAATATTGCCTTGTGACATTTTTCTTGTTGAAAATAAATTTTTTTGTTAAAATAGTTGAAAAAATTATTTTTAAATAGTTAAAAAATGTCGAAAAAATGTTCGCCAAGTCCAGCCCGGTACTCGTTGCCAACGACCGTTGGGTTCAATAATCACGATATTCGAAAGAACAGAATGCCGGCCTACACATTTGGACTGCGTTTGCAAGACAAAGATGCATTCACAACACCAGCGCCTAACGCCTATAAATTGCCTTCAATAATTGGTGGTCAAGACCAAACATTCCAACGAGCTCCAGCGCATAGCATGCATAAACGATTACCGGAAAAGGAGGCTTTCCAATCCCCCGCACCGAACGCATATTCTTTGCAGAATTTCAAGCCTGGAATACGAGCACCAGCTTATACCATGGGCGCTAAATTGAAGAATCTATCTGAGACCACTGAATGTTGATCGAAAATTTTAGTTTAATTAATTTCAACGAGCAAAATCATTTGTAATGAAAACAATATATTTTATACTAAAAAAGAAATGTGATAAAACTAATGAACTATTGCGCCTCAATATATTGGTTGCCATTCAAGACTTTACTTCTTTAGTTCAATCGGTATTCTTGGAAAATCATTCAAACAAACTACCAAGCATTACTTCACTTGTTATTGTTTTAATGTTGCTCCGAGTTTCTCGGATTAAATTAAAAGATTTTCATTCAGCTGAACAAATGTTTCAAACAATCAATTGAAAACGACTGCAAAGATATCCAACAAAAGGAAGTTGTTGAATTAAATACCGAGAGAACAATAGATGAACATTGAATGAATCGGATAGCGAGACTTAAAATCAATTACTTAAATGTATAGAAATTGTTGCTATTGAAATCGCGACTGCGACAGAGTTCAGCCCTCTTTGGATGTCGATTCATTCTCTTGTGACTCTTCCAGCGACGAATACAAAACTTTTCGCGTGAATACCAAAGCCAGATTCGTCTTTATTTCTTTGTTTCAAACCCTCTGAGACGGTGAATGGATCAAAATGTCGCAACTAATCGCTTTATTATTTTCATTTTTTCTGTTCCAAAATTTCCTTTCAGTTAACTTGACTAAATACGTTTAAAATGATTTCAAATCACTAAATTTATTTTCATAAAATAATACAATTGATATTAGTATTTTGCATTTTGTAAGGCTGCTTCATTACTTGAAACCATCTCATCATATTCCGGGTAGATCTATATAGGTACATGTTTGCGAAATTGCTTGGTTCAAAAAAACTTTTTTTTTTCTAACATAAAACAAAGGTCAACCTATTATAGATTCATTTCCGTTACTATACTCCATTCCTCAGGTGACATATTGTTACGGATTTTCAACCCTTCATGGAACCAAGTTACTAAAGCCAAGTCATTTTCAATCTTTCTGGCAATTGGGCACTTCGCAGGATCGTGGTCTAGCATTTCTTTGATCATCTAAAATTTAAGAAGAAAAGTTATTAATATCTTATTAATGCTTCCAAACCATGTCGACATACATCAAGCATCTGGATTGTGCATTCGGTATCTGGTTCTTCTATAAAATCTGGGAACTGATTGTTGCGGGCGTCAATCAAAACTTTATCTCGTTCCATGTGTTTTCCAAAAGATGGGTGTTTCATTTCAAAGGCTGGTTTCTTTGGTGCTTGTATCAGATTCCAATAAGGACAATGGTCATAGGAACAATGTTCCTAATAAAAATGTACTCGTTCGATGGGAGGTCGATTTTGGGATTTCTTGACCGATTTCCTTATTTTGATTTTGATATTTTTGCTCTGTTCTCGTTGCCATGCCGATGCTCCCCGTTTTTTGACTGCCGATTTGTATTTACGCGAGGTTCAGTGGAGGACGAGGGAGGATTCTTTCTGTCAACGAATTCACAGGCAGTAACTGATTTCGGCCATATCGACGGGTTAACAATACGTTCAAAGTTTTGACGAGGAAAGATCAGTTTGAACGTTATGAATTTGTAGCTAGAAATGGGCCGGCCTCCACGTGTCAGTCTTTTGCATTGAATCTCATTGACAATGTTAAATGTGGAATCAATGGAGCGCAAATGATTCAAAATATCATCACAAGTGGTGTCGATAGACAAGCGTGAGATGTGAACGCTCTTCGTCAGTTTAGATGACAGTTTAGCTGACGAAACAATTTTCTCATGTAAACTGGTTTGCGGGCCGGAGCTTGAACCAAATTGCGCAAATTCCTTGCACTCTGCTGAGCTGATGGTGTCCAGGTGATTTCATCAGCAGCGTTATCAACGGATGATGTGAGGCACGAACGTTTCATCGTTTCGTTGATTGGGCAACCAATTTTAGGGTTACCGTGTTTTTGGTTCGGGCGTGGAGTGTCCGCATAAACACTCGATCTAGCACCACCCGATTCGACATTTGGGACGATTGTAATGTCCAAGTCATCGTTTTTTTCACTCACGTCCATCGGTTCTGCTGACGTTTCGTCGATCACAACATTTTCATTGTGTACGGTGTCATTGGCATTGCCAGCCAAATGCAACAACATATTTGCGTCGATTTCAATCACTTCGGCAGCACTGGTATTTTGCTCATTTTGGTTGCTTGCACTTTTTTGCGGTAAGTCAGCGAACAACACTTTGTCAATGAGAGGCACGAGCGAGCGTTTAAGGTCCGAAATAAAACTTGAACACTCGTTGAAATTGTTTACTATGCCACCCAATGTGTGTGGCTGGCAACTGTCACAATACCACTGTAAACCAGTAATCTTCGCCATATAGTTTGTCAGAGTTTCATTGTATATAGTGGTGGCATTGACTTTATTGAGACAGGCGAAATGAAATGAATTGCCTCACAAGCCATAGCATGAAATGCTTTTGTCATTGGCAACCGGTTTCACACACAACGCACATTGGGCCATTTTATGGTTATGAAAAACAATAACAATAGCACTGGATAACGACGTGAGTAACGAGAGCGACTTAACCAAAAATGTCCACAAATTATCAAGCGAGAAAACAATGAAATTGATGTTGACACGGATGAACTTTATAATATTTCGATACAGCAAGTCTTTACGAATAGAATGATATAAAATTTGTGACAAAACAATGACGATAAATATTTTAAAACAATAAAATAATGTAAACACAGACGAGAGACGAAAAAAAACACAACTGTCAGCGTAGCTGTCAAACGTCAAAAAAAATGAGCAGCGGCAATGCAAAAAGATAGGGAGATTTGTTTACAAACAACAAAAAATAAACAAAACAAAAATTCCTATAACTAATGTATTGGCAATGTAAAAATAAATGGCGAACATTTTACATTTCTAATGGCCTGTACTATACTGTCTGTACTACAGATTGCGATGATAAAACGCAACGCATAGAATCCAGTCGCTGACCCAGCCAGAATGTTTTCAGCTAGCTAGCTGACATTAGCCAAATACATTGTCTGGTTATAGGCTTTGAACTTTTGACCAGGACCCTTTGTATGTATCCACTGGATACTATCCAGTTGAAAATTTCCATTGATATTACAAAGAAAGTCATTCACGCTTGGCTCAATTCATTTCGAATATGTAAAAAATGTTTTTTGTTTTCAAAGTGTTTTTATTTCCAAAAATGAAGTTCAAGATACAAAAGTTGTTCGTAAATCTTTATGTTTCCAAAATCTTTCACTATGTCTACTGTCTATAGTCATTTGAATAAGCATTTTAATAAGGAATTTTGGAATTCGTGAAAATATACTACAAAACTGACCATTGGTTCTAACTATCTTCTAAATGATAACAATATTCATAGTTCAAAAATAAATCAAAGTTGGAAAAATATTTGAATAATTGATCAATTTGTTTGAATTTGCGTCCATTAAAAATCCTCTCTTGGAATCCGTGTAAATCTCGTGGATCCACTCCGGAAGTCTCGAACTGTTGCAGCTGTGGCAACGCTATACGAAACGGAAAACCCTTTTTTGCGATCAGCATCGTCCGTTCGAAAACTCAGTTTCAATCGTCTGGGCGAAATCACCTCCAGTGGTAGCTCTGAGCCACAATACCGTCCAAACAAGACCCATTCCCGACTATCTCGTTGTTCATACAGGTCAACATAGTCGAACACACACTCTTGATCATATTCCACATCGAATTCCAAGAACTTCAGATGAATCCTTAATCCGGGCTGTTTGGTTTTGATAATCCAGTCACAATCAGTATTATCATCATAAGATGTATCGCCAAATCTTGCATGTGAGTAAATGTATTTAACGGTAGAAGTGGCCACAAAAGTACCACCACAAACAGTTGAATGTTTGACAACAAATCCATTTCGTTGAACACTGTTGTCCGTTTGAAATGACATGAACAGATCATCCGATGGCGATGAGATTGGAAACGGTAGATTTGTGGAATCCGGTATTGATTTCGAACCGCAAAACTTCCCCAAAGTAAATGTGTCACTGGCGGCCCAAGTACTTTGCAATGGGTCAACACCAATGTACGCTGTCACATGATCATTTGTGCACTCATAATCGTCTTCAAGATCAAAGTATTGGAAGTCCAAGTGCGGCCGATGACCATGAATGGCTTTAAAATGCCAAATGCAGTCCATATTCTTCGCATATTTGTCCTCTGTCTGACTGCGAATTTCACCTTGCGGCGCAGCGATTTCGTAGCGACATTTGCCCGGAACACAATTTCGCCCATTTTCGTGCAGCACGAACCCACTTTTGCACGCACATTGAATTGAATCCAATGTATTTCGGCAAAGATGTTTGCAGCCACCGTTATTTATGGCACAACGATCGATGCTCGTGGAAAATGTTGCTGAAAATCCAGCTTTTTGCACATTTTTATCGGACAGAAATTTAATGCGCATGATATTTGTTTCGGATGTGATGGGCGATGGAAGAAGTTCACTGCAAAAAATACCCTGTTGAACCAATCGACCGTCACGGTACTTTGACGAAACGGTCACTGAATCATAGTCACACTCCTCCTGCAATAACTGACTACCTTCAAGTTCGAAGTGGTTAAAATTTAACGTGATTCGATGTGCTTCTTCAGAAATAATCTCCCAAACGCATTCCTCATTCGGTGGATATGGGTTTGGAAATGATGGTGTTTCAATAACACCGCTGGTAGCCTGAATGACTCCACCGCATTTGACTTCACATGTTTTCATATCGTCACGCAGTCTATAGCCAAAACGACAGGCACAACTGTAACCATCCAAGGTATTAATGCAATTTTGTTCACAGCCATGCTCTTCAAGGGCGCATTCATCGATTTCGCGGTATAGTGTCGCTGAAAATCCCCGTCCTTCATTCGTCCCATCAGATACAAAACGAATGTACATTTTGTTCGAAGTCGATGCTAGAATCGGAGGCAATGAATTGCCACAGTATTTACCAATCAAACGTGATTTCGCACTGCCACCGTCACGTACTTCGATGAAATCGTTGCGACAATTTGGATGCAATTCCAAGTCAAACGAATGAAAATCCATGGCCACTTGATAACTTGGTGGCACGGAAATACGCCAAATGCAGTCTTTGTTCGGTAGATAGAACCGTGGAAAATTGGGTGATTCAATTTTGTTGCCATTGGAAATGGTTAAGTCACCGCCACAAATTGCCTCGTAATTGGCCGCAAATCCCCGATGCTCTGATTTATTTGAAATATAATTTATAATCATGCGATTTCCAGTGGACATTATCACTGGAACGCTGATATTAGTGCCACAGAAACGACCAAGTAACGGTGATTTATGCCAATACCCATCGAAAATTTCCAAATAATTAGTTTGACAATCTATTGAATCGAAGATATCCAAATCGGTGATATTTAATCGAATCCGTTCGCCTTGCGTTGCTGAAATGCGCCATTCACATCGGAACGGTGCGCCAGACTTTGAGTGATAGTTTAGCGATGTGAACGTAGCATTTTGGCCAAGGAATGTGCCACCACATTTCGGACATTTGTACAATTTATTCGTTTGTCTAATATCACTCTCGCTCAACTGATCTCGTTGACCAATTTTATGTCGTTTCCTATTTTTACTACGCTTCGGTTGAATTGTCGCTATTTTTGGGTCGTACAAATGCTTTGAATAAGTGTTTCGTCTATAATGCATTATTGAACCATAATCATATGGTTCACCCAATGAATCCACATCTTCAGCCGTTAATTTTTTGAAATTATGCTCTTGACCCTCGGATATATGTTCGCTCAGAATTTTTACGTATTCATCTCGGTCTGGTCGAGTGTGCTCATGCCAAAATCCAATTGCATGACCCAATTCATGTACAATCACACCAAATTCATCACAACCCTTACCGATCGACACATTTTGACTACCATATCCCTGTTTACCAACGACCGAACAACAGCCACAGTCCAACTTTGTGAAACGTATGTAATTATCGTGTTCGCCGGCATTTCGTTCGACAAATTTGATGCACGTAAACTGTTCCCAATGATGCATCGCCTCTTTGAATTGTGCCCTTTGAACACCATTGAAACCAACTCTTGCGTCAATCACATAGGGAACAACACCAAAATCCCAAATTCGTTCCTTTTTTGCCGTTGCAGCACGCTTCGTTCGTTGATCATCGTCTGGTTGACCATTACTTACCACATTTTTTATCGGTTTTATGTCTTGTTCTATTAATATGTCACCTTCAAACAACACTGACAATGGTTCTACAATGGCCATCAAAGATGTCAACATCACTATTGCAATCAACTTTGATTTAAACTTGGAAAATGGTTTCGATTCCATTTTTTTGGTATTGTTTTTTCTTAAATTTATTTTGATTTTCATTCAAAGTAAAAAAAACGAATTTTGGAGAGAGTTTCTTTCGATGTGACTCTTTCTGTTGCTAAACTTAAACTGAACTCCTTTTTGAAAGATGCGATTTATTTAAAGCTTCATTTTTACACATGAAAAGAGTTCATTACAATGAATTAAACAGGCGCATTCTGAAGAATTCCAGATTTAAATATTGACCTGAAATTGGATTATACAAAATGTCCTTTCTGTAATTTTACCTGAATTACTGTTAAAATGACCGCTGTGTTCCACCACAAAGGATTTTGAGAATGATTTGCCTAGTTTCATGTGATCATTTCCTTCTTAGAATAACTGTTGAATGTTTGGATTACTGATTCATGCTGCCACTATTTCTCTTCTTGCATGTGTTTTGGTGATGAATCTACGAATTAAGCATCAGTGTTCAAGTTGAAAATGACATGGATCAAAATGTAGCAACTAATCTCTTTATTATTTTCAGTCCTTATTTTTATCACTTTAGTTGTCTTGACGGTATGATTATGGTCGTTCCATCTAGTGTATAAACTGATTTCATATCATTGCATTCGCTTAGGTGAAATTACCATTTGAAATTTGCATACAAAGACTTACTTCATTTCTTGAAATCATCGCGCCAAGTTTGTCGCATGATAACTTCCTGTAAAGTAGAATATCTATTCCAAGCGCATTACCATCGTGGGTATATTTTTGGGAATAAATCGTTGTTGTACCCCTTCAAAAACCCAACAGCAACGAGGGAACTTCACGTTTATCAAAACCATACAGAAAGAGATGAGCTTGGTAGGTTTGCAGCTCCCATCGCGTGCACCGTGCATTATGTCTACAACGACTGGTTGTACGTATATGTATATAGAATATAGTGATACAAATCGCTCTTCCTATTTAAAGGACCTTTACAATTTAACGTTTTGTGCATATTTAAACAATGTCGTTTTTGTGGAGAATATTTATAACGTTAAACAATGTTATCTAACGTTTGCAGCGCTTCGCATACTGAAACAATCTCTCTCTCTCTCTATCTTGACGGTGGCACCATTTGTTTGCAGTGAATGGAAAATATTTCGATGTTTTCGTGCGTACGGTTTTTCAGAGCACGGGTAAATTCGCTATTCATATTTCACATAATGGTGTGCATATACAAAATTCAGGAGCGCAAAATATGACTAATGATTTCGATTCCTTTGGGTGAAACAAACGGAAAAAAAACACCCTCCTGTTACAAAATGTTTCGTGTCGTGGTTTACTGTTACTGGGTTTGTGTGCGTAAACAACGACACAAGAAAATATATTCAAGATAAAGGCAAGACGAGACTCATTAGTTCTTGCAAGTTAAATGATTGCATTCAACCGCCTACGCAACCAACGACAGCACAAAACGCAAGAATCATTTGAAGTGAACAAGTAAAGGCAATATGATTTATCAACTTTTGAATCGGTCCGCATGGAATCCATATAAATATTACATTTTCAGCGTGTAGGCGCACGAACTTTGCCGATGAAAATGCCAGCAAAAGAACAAATCGTGAATAAATGCTATTTATTGGAACAAAGTAATGACAAATTCACATTGAATGAAGTGTTCTCAGTTACCGTATCAACATTATATTCCACGAAACTCACTGATAGCGTAGGTGTTTGAGTCTCAAACTTTGAATGGACGTCTTCTGTGAAATTTATCTGCAAACTAAATAATTATTTTCAAATGTCTTTGATGAACAATATGAATGGTTTTAATGGACAAATTTAAAGCGGAGTTTTTGCCTTTACATTGTAGTATAATCCCGAAGAATGAAAGTACAATTTTGGAAAAATGGCTATTTAAGAGATAAAATTCAATAACACTACGATTCTTAATGCAATTGAAAAAGATTGAAATTTCAATTGAAATGTTCCATAATATTATGAATATCAAATGGTATTTTCTTACTGTTACTCTATTTAATTGTGAAACGATATTTGTTGAAGTGGCCACGACGAAATGACACAGTTGCACAGTTTTAGATTCTTATTTTTGAACGACATTCAACTCTCAAGCTGTTCCATTCTATATTATCACTTTAATTTTCATTTCGAATTGAACTCGCGATGCTTTTACAAAGACACTCGTTCTGAGACAGCTCGTTAAATGATACTCTTGTGCTCATTACTTTCCATTAATCTTGTGATGTGCATTCAAGATCTTTGGGAACAACTACTGAACCTTTGACAGTGTTTACTTTAATTTCAATGCGACCTTTAGATAAGTTTACTACAAAAATATATTTTCTTTATTTTTTTAGCTCTATCTTTCATTCCAACTGTATTCACTCCTTTATCTATTTGTTCATCACCTTACTGATGACTCTGCATTTCGGACAATGTAACACAGTTAACATTTTGAATGAACATGACATAAACCATCGGCTGTTAAGCTTAATTGCGAAAAGTTTTACGAGCGAGGTGAAAAAATGTTGGATTACGAATGTATTTCAGTGTATTCCATGTTTGAAATGTTTTTGTTTATCCTTCGGGGATAATCCGTAAATGCAACGATGAAAAATGTTTGAGTATATCTTTGTATTTCAACATTTGGCTGCCCAGTGCCCATTCAAAAATAATTGCATTGATGAAAAAACCAATGCAAACTATTTTCGCTATAATTGAATGAAATAACAACTTCAGTTGTGGACTTTTTTCTGCAAATGAACCCTTTACTTGTCCGAGTACAAAGTATGGAAAAAGTATTGACTTCTGTGAGCGAGCATAGTCAATTAAAACTTCCAATGAACGCGTCACTCTGATATGATTGAACTCCTGGGCAGGATCACTGATACGATTCCCAATGTGGAAGGACAATGTAACAAAATAACTCAAACAATTTTACATTTCACGAACACACATTGTGATGTTGCCATAGATAGAAGAGAAATGCCGGTTGTGTCAATCCATGAGTCTGGTCTCCGAATGCAATACAATTTTGTTCTCTTTCGAGCAGGAACTGTACATCGAGACTGGTTAAAGTTATAATTGAATGTAAAGTAGTTTTGACGTGCTGATTATACAATGGAAAAGTTTTTATGATTTTCACAATTTACAACAATGTTGTTGCGTCGAATTGTGTTTGTGTGTGTGTATGGCGAAAATGCTTGATAGCCCCGGATCCATTCCATTTAATGAAAAGGGCATTCAACATTATTTGAAGTATTTATGTTTGCTGAAATCTTAGATGTTATTGAAATAGCGGCAACGGCGGTTTTACTTGAGTCTGAAATAACTATCGACCACTTGCTCCCCGCATTGCTGCAGCAAACAATCTTTTCAGAACTTTTAGTCGGAATATTTTACCACACATTCTTTTTTGCAGTGGAAATAGTTTAAGTGGTTTTGTAATTCAAATACAATCTGTCGTAATGGATTGAAAAATTGTTAGTGGCTCCATTATTGGGTCTTTTTAGGCAATCTCAAAATTGAATTATGATGCGAGAGCTTGTGCTCTAACTAATGACAAATATTTACCATGGCAAATTGTGGAGTGCGGTGAATGGAAATTGTGTGCGTTGAAATCACGTATTGTTGCCATGCATTTCTCTCTCCCATTGCAAATAATTCATTCGATACATGGTTTGTATTTTCTAATCTCATTTGACATGTTGGCACGAATTCGGTGTCGTGCATAAAAAATGTACCATGTAAAAATAGCTGAAAGTGTTATTCGTACCGCACATTACTTGGTATTCTCAATCAGCATCATCGGAAAATCGCATTGTGGCTCGACTTTGCCAGTTGGTTTGTTTTTTTCATCCCGCTGTTGCGACTCCAGCATATAACAACGGCATCTGAATGGTGTTTTCCGCATTTATTATGCACAAATACACAAGGATGGCTTGATACGAGTACATACTCGTGGAATTTATGAAATGCCCGCACGACATGAGCTGCATACAAAGGCACAGCTACCCTCAAAGAACGGTCAGCTGTGAGTGTTACAACACCAAACCACAACGGAAGATAAATTTTTCATGCCCAAAAGAATAATGAGCATTCCAACACATTCGCTCTTCCTGTTGCCAGCCCTTTTGTGGCATTTTTCCTTCATTCATAAATATGTGCTTTTTTTTCTCCTGACACGCTTTGGTCCGCCGGCGATACGCTGTTCAACTGATGAAAACCGGAATGGGAAATTATTTGATTTGCCTGTACGAAAGTTATAATGAAAGGGCTTTGAATCATTCTCGGTTTGAATCATGGAATATTCAAGCGTATGCAACTGCGCTGGCAAAATATGAAAAAAAGGCAAATCTTTATGCTTGAATAACGAAACAGAACAAACACAGAGAGAAAGAAAAAAAATGTGAATCGAACACGGACGCTCTATATATTTTTCTGGTTTCGCATTATTTGCTGCTTGCTCCGTCGAATGACTTTAACCACAGTTTCGCAATAAAAAAAAATCACATACGTTTTATATAATATACGAATACCGTAATTTTTTTTCATTTCTCGTATTCTTGGTGCGACATATGTGCATATTTTGAATATAAAATGATGTCGAATACTGGAATATAAACGCGATAAATTCGAGACAGTTTTTTTCCACTGATTTTCGAATTGATTTATTGTAAATAAAATTCAGGCAACGGAAAATATTATCATTGCTCTTTTTGACAGCGTATCAAATATTAATTTAAGACATGAAATGTTTTGAAGAAAAACATTTCGATAGAAGGAGGAATGAACTAAACTATTACAAGACCATAGTCTAACGATGCTCTATTCACTAAATGCCCGTAATAAATTTGTTGTTTCGTCTGCGCAATAAATAGTTGTGAAAATCGTAAAGATGCTTTAGTGGAAAATTTATTGCGTGGCAGCAAGACTAAAAGCAAGTAATGTGAAACATCTCCGCAGCATCCATTTTC